CAGGACACAGTCAGGAAACAGTCGCAGGACCGCGGTGGGCGATACCATCTGGGCAGCATATTCGGGTACCGGTCGATTTAAATATGGAGCTCTGTGATGCAAATGCGGAGGCAGGCCCGCCGTCCTCGGCCGCGCTGCCCCGCGCCGTCCCCGTTGGACTTTCGGGTAAATTCATTCAAGGGCGTCCCCGTCTGACCCCCGGAACACACCGGAACACGCTCGCCAGGGACCTGCTGACGACGAAGACTTCATCACGACGTCAGGACTCAGGACAGTGTCTCAGTCCGTCAATGCTTTTGCCCCCCTCTGTTTTAATTTTTACCGTTTTTCTCATGGTTTAGTTCACAGGGTATGGTCGCCCTTGAAACTGGTACCAGTCGAGAAAAGCCTTTGCATTGGGGCCCGCGCCAAAAGCTGGAATCCATTCATAATGTCAGCCGCTGCGGCAGACTCCCTCTGATAGGCGAATGTGGCCAGGCCCAGCCAGTCCCTTCGCGCGGCCCTGTCCGCCTCCAGCCGCTGGAGCGCCCCTGGTTGGCCGCACCCCCACCCCCACGGTGGCGGAGGGGCGGAACCAGGCCAACCCCCGGCGTGCACGGCCTCGTAAAAGCGGCCCTTTGCGCCCCGCACCGCCCCCGCGCCGCCCCCGCGCCGCCCCCGCGCCGCCCCCGCCCTTGTGCAAGCGCCAGCCACGGCACCCCGAGTGGCTGGAGGAATGAACGAATGGGTCGGACGAATCGGTGGCTCGACGCATAAATTATGACCCAATGAGCGGCTGGGCGAATGAACGAATGCACGAATGAATGAACCCGACTGATGGAAGCCTGGATGGAGCCTGGCGTGGGAGTCTGTAGTCCGTAGTCCGTGACACCTGTAAGACCTCCCGGCCGGCCGGCCCGGCGAGGCTGCGCCAGTCGACGCCCCTCGGCCATCCGCCGCGCCGCCGCGCCGCCCCCGTACTCGTTGGTCGTTGTCACAGAGCGACCCAGCATGTGGCGTGGTGGCGTGGCGCGCCGGCCGGTCCCACCGCGGTCCCACCTTCCACTGGTGTGGTGGTCTCTGCCCTGGCGGATCCCCAGCGCTGCCCTTGTGTCTCTCTCGCACCGCCGCGCCACGCGCCGTGCGTGCGAGAGAGACGGACGGCGCCGCTCGGAACGGAGTGGAACGGAGCCGCTGCACAGTGGGCCAGAAGACGGTGGAGGCGGCCAAAACTCTAGACGCGTTCTGAGCTCCAGAGTCGCTAAATGGGACTCGAACCGGACGTGTGACCCCACCAATGGATTCCCCGTTCGGAGAGCAATCCATTGGTGGGGTCACACGTTCGGTTCGAGTCCCATTTAGCGACTCTGGAGCTCAAAACGTGTCTAGAGTTTTGGCCGCCTCCGCCGGCTTCTGGCCCACTGTGCGCTGGCGGGCTGCGGCTTCGGAAGTGACTCCCAAATCGAGGGCCCTATCTCTTTCTCCTTCCCGCATTTGAATACACGGCGCGGCGCGGGACGCGGCGAGACGCAGACGCGAGACGCAGTGTGGGGTCATGAGGCTTGGTGCGCCCCGCGCTGCACCGCCCCGCGCCTCGCCGCGCCTCGCCGCGCCGCGTAGGGAGATACAAATGAGATCCTGACGAGAACAATGGCACCGGCCGACCTGGTCGCCGGTCCGTGCTGGTCCGTGCTGGTCCGTGCTGGTCCAGCCCGTGTAGTACTTCCACTTGCCTCGCACCGCGGCGAGCAGCGCAGCGCACGGCTCACCATGGCTGGAAGTGGAAGTGTCCCTGCTGCGAGGCGCGGCGGGGCGCGGCGAGGCGGGGCGGCCCGGGCGGGGCGGGGCGGGGTGGGGTGGGGCGGCCGGGGCGGGGCGGGCACAAGTTAGCGCACGGGCTGCCAGCCGACTGCACGCCTGTAGCGCGGTTGCCGCGGAGCGCTATGGACGCTTTGACGGGCCAGTGGGATTGATTGGGGGGCAGGCCACGCAATTTGCTAATTGCGCCAATTGCGTGGGAGAGGCCGGAGTAAGAGCGGTGAATGGAAATACTGGACAAAAACAACGATGAATAGTGGTTTGTGTCGAAGCGTGTATTTGGTGACAGCTAGTGCGTACGGCGAACGCCACACCTGGTGCTAAACGCTTGGCTGCAGCGAAAAAGCTCCGGCCGGGTTGGACACTTTCGGCTCTAGCCCGTCATGTTCATGTTCAATCGTTTTCCCGTGCACCCACAGTCGGATGGGTTGCCGGGATGTCCGGCGTTCGAAGCACTCTAAAATTGTGCATGAAGGGTTGCTCGTCGTCGACGATACGGCGGCGAGGCGAGCTCAAGCCTAGGCTCGCGTAGGAGGGGTTGCCTGCCGTCACGGCGAGCTGTGCTTCGATCCCCGTAGGAGGGGTTGCCTGCCGTCACGGCGAGCTGTGCTTCGATCCCCGTAGGAGGGGTTGCCTGCCGTCACGGCGAGCTGTGCTTCGATCCCCGTAGGAGGGGTTGCCTGCCGTCACGGCGAGCTGTGCTTCGATCCACGTAGGAGGGGTTGCCTGCCGTCACGGCGAGCTGTGCTTCGATCCACGTAGGAGGGGTTGCCTGCCGTCACGGCGCCCCGAAGGTCTCGGTGCAAGGCGAGCAGCATGGGTTGCCTGCCCGCCGGAGTCGTGGCCTGTGGCCCGCGGCCGCCCAGACACGCATGCGCGGTGCCAGGGCGCGCGCGTGACCACCCCCTGCCCCCCTGGCGCCGCCGCTGCCGCCGCCACCCCTGGGACCACCCCACGCATCCCACGGGCACGCCGCACCCCGCTGTCCCGCCGCCCCGCCGCTTGACCTGGTCGGGAAGGTGGCTTGTGGCTCTTGGCGAGGTCCAGGCCCCAGGCGCGACGCCTCCCAGGCTGCCTCCCAGGCTTGTCGGTCCAGAGTGTCCGGAGCTCCGCGCGCGTTCGGACGTCAGGACCATGGCGGTGGCCACCTTGACGGGCTTCGAGGCGCGCCGGGGCCGTGACGGTGGCATTGAAGTGCGCCCCGTGATCAGCGGGCTTGACGCGGTCATCGACGAGGCGGCCGTGGAGCGTGCCGTGCAGAGATTCAGGGGGAACGGCCCGCCGGATGTCCAAGCCGAGGCCATGGTGCGGGCCGTCGCGAGGGACCATGCGCTTCTCAATCACTGGGATCGAGCCTTCCGAGAGCGCTATGCGCAAGCTGAGCAGGCCCTGGGTGGCCAACGCAGCCAGGAAGCCCAGGGCGGCCAGGACGGCGGCCAGGGCGGCCCGGGCGGCCCGGACGGCCAGGGTGCCAACCGCCAGCAACACCGCCACCGCCGCCACCGCAGGACCACTCTGCTGTGCACCTGCTGGTAAGTCCCGTCGTCGTCGTCCTGGTCAGAGTGTCATTGGGACCGTTTCCTGACAGTGTGTTGCCTCTGCAGTGACATCACCCTGCCCGACCCATCCAAGGGGCAGGAGACTGTGCTGGCCATCTCTGACGGCGCCATGGTGATGGTGGGCCTGCTGCCGGTGCGGCCGCGTGCCCGGCGAGCCCGCGGCTGCTGCTGCTGGCTGGGGCACTACCTGCGCGCCCTCTGCTCGCGCAAGTCGCTGGTGGCCGCCGTGCTGGCCCTGCTCACGGTGTGGGGGCTGCTGGTGAACGCGACCGTCAAGGCCACACCGCCGCCGCCCTACTTCTGCTACCTGTTCATCCCCGCCACCGCGGCCACCATGATCCTGTTCTACGCTCGCTCCAAGAAGCGCGGGGCCCTGCGTAAGTTTCAAACGGTGCATCCACGTGTTTGTCGTTTTGCCGGTCGGAAGCCCGCGAGGCAACGACCCGATTATTTCACAATTTCTGGAGCGGTGCTTCGTCGTAGCTCCAAAATTTTGTCACGGAACCGTCAATTTTCATTCAGTTCCGTGGCTGCGAATGAACGCGATTTGACTTCCCCGCTCTGACCCGCCGCGCCTGTTGCTGTTGCTGCAGCTGAGCTGCGCCCCTACTTCCGTTGCTGCCGCTACTGCGGCGGCATCGAGCGCTACCCGCCGTTCCCGGCCGGCGCCGAGGCGACCGAGGCCGAGGCCGAGGCCCAGGACTGCACCTGCCCCGCCCCGCCCGCTGGCGGGGACGCTGCCGACGTGGACGCCGCCGCCGCTCCGTCCCCGGACGTCACCAAGAACCACGAGGCTGACGACAGCGTCGCCATCGACGTCGAGGCCCCCGCTCCCGAGTTGGAGAGCGAGATTATGGTCAACGGCGACGACCAGGAAGAGCTGCGCTTCTAAGTGCTGGAATCGGGCGGGCGACGATGAAGAACTACAAGAGCGCTGTCGCCACGCTGGCCTATCAGTGGCGTGCGCAGAAATTTTGAAAATGGGGGAGGGGGATCAGGCCATGCTTTTTGCCATCTTACAGGGGTTATGCACCGCCATTTGTCTACCTGCCCGGCGGCTATCTAGTGCCCAAAAGGGTTGACCCCTCGCCCCCCTGCGCACGCCACTGCTTACTACATATACTATATCATACCGATTATGTAACCAGTTTGAAATTCGGTCAGACTCAGCTACCATCGTTGGCCAGGCGGGTCATGGGATAATTGTTGGAGTCAGAGTCCCTCAATATTGTAACCACTTTTATCTGTGTGTGTCTCTCTCTCTCCCTCTCGCTCTCTGTGTCTCTTTCTCTCTCTGTGAGTAATTATCAGGCTGTGTTTGAGCAGTATCATAATACTGAATTTAAGGAAGAGTTGTGCTGTTTTTATCGGGGTTGGGTCCATGAAAAATGGAAAGTTTCTCATTGTACATCACCGCTCATATATTATGCGGTTGTCTCTGTGTCTCTCTCCCTCTCTCTCTCCCTCTCACTGTTTAATTATCAGGCTGTGTTTAAGCAGTAAAAAAAATGGAATAGTTGTGTTGTTTTCATCAGGGTTGGGTCCAAGAAAAATGGAAAGTTTCTTATTATGTGTGTCACCGCTCATATATTATGCGGTTCAATGGTGTTCTCAAAAATGAAGAAAAACAAAATACAAAACGAATAAAAATGTAAAATGACTTTAATTTTTATCACTGAAAGTACCCTTTACATCACAGAAAAACTTAAATCTGCACTCATTACGTATTCTCACACCTGCAAGAGTGCACAGTTAAATTTACTCAAAGAAAATATAAATCTTTGCCATTGTCAAAAGAAAATTATTGGAAACAAAAAGAGAGCTGCAGAAACATTCAAGGAGGAATCGACTTTGGCAAAACACAGGTAAAAATTTGCAATTTGGGGCAGTGTACAAGCTGATCATGGCCAATATATATGATGGGCAATGTACGAGTTAATCATGGCCAATAAATGAGCTGATATCATGGGCAATATACGAGTTCATCCGAGACAATATAGTTAATCACTGATGCACCTGGTAGCAATTCATGAGTAACTCAGGGGTCAGTTTAGTTGTGATCCTAATTCTGGAGTCGCTTCGCCCTCGAAAAACATGCACGGCCGCGTGGACTGCGTGCGCAAACTCAGACGGCGTCCTCGGGCAGGTCCTGGAGTGTGTCCTTGAGGCCGGCCTTGGCAGGCACCGGCGGCGGCCAGCTGGGCAGGTGCACGTTGACGTAGCTGGAGAAGCCGGACGGGTCCAGCGGGAAGCCGTCCTCGGCGAGGTCCAGGTCGAGGCGGTCCGCGCGGTCCACGCGGTCCACGCCGCCGCGGCTGCCCCCGCTGCACACCGGGGTCGGGGTCGGGGTCCCCGTCGAGGACGTCGAGGACGTCGAGGACAGGGCGGCGGCCACGGGCCGGATGCCCATGGGGGACACGTAGTGCACGTAGTGGCTGTCCGCGGACGCGGGGCTGACGGGGTGCAGCCACGACACCTCGTCCACCTGCACGGGGTGCGCGGGCTCGGCCGCGTCGCTGCTCCTCCCGGACCACGTGCTGCCTGTGAACACGAATACCGGGTCAGCGGCTGAACAGGCCACAGGGCTCTAGGGGCATGAGTTTGAACACGCACTGCTGGAGCTCCGTCTGCTGAGGCTGCTGGGGGGCCTGGTGGGCGCTTGAGACCCCGTCAACGCCGTCCCCGATCCTGCCCCGGGCGGCGCGCTGTCGCCGCGATGGTCGGAGCGAGTCCCTGCAAGTTGCGAGCGCAGCAAGCTCATCAGTGCACAGGCAATCATTTCGTTTCAAGTGCTTCTCCTTCACTGGAGGCTTACCTTTGTCCTTGCTCGCGGCGTGCCTGCCGTGCCGGGCCTTGGTGAAGACCCTCTTGATGCGCTCCAGCGGCGACGGCCGGGCCGCGGCCGCCGCGCCCTGCGTCTGGCCCTGGCCCTGGCCGCCCAGACGGTGCTCCACTTGCTGCAGCTCCTCGCGCATACGGGCCAGTTGTTCCTGCGGCACAGAAGCAAGGCCTTCAAGACCACCTCCCCGCGCGACCGAGACCGTGCGTCGCACAGTGGGCCAGAAGACCGGTGGAGGCGACCAAAATTCTAGACGCGTTTTGAGCTCCAGAGACGCTAATGGGACTTGAACCGAACGTGTGACCCCACCAATGGATTTCTCTCGGAACGAGGAATCCATTGGTGGGGTCACACGCTCGGTTCGAGTCCTTTTTAGCGACTCTGGATCTCAAAACGCGTCTAGAATTTTGTCCGCCTCCACCTTCGTGCGTCGGTCCTACTGACCTGCTTGTCGCGGAACGACTGGTGCGTCGCGTTCCTTCCCCGCCACGAGTGCACCAGGTGCTCCACCTCGCCGAGGCTGAACGAGCTGCTCTTGAGGTCCCGGATCACGTCCATCAGGTCGTCGTCGACGGGCTCCTCGCGCCCGGCCAAGGGGTCCGAGCCGCGGCGCGGCCGGCGTTGCGCGCGGTGTTCGTCCACGGGCGCGGAGCCCTCCCTGGTCCACCCGGGGCGCGGGCGGAGGACGCCGTCAGGCACGTCGGCGCCCACCGAGCAGCACTCGGACGGCGGGGCGCCGGCCGCGTCATGGTTCTCGTCAATGTCCTGGTACACGGCGTCCGGACAGAGGTAGGCGTCGTCCGGGGCCTCCGCCGTCGGCGAAGAGGACTGGGATCGGCGGGGCATGTTCTGATACAACGATGTGAGCTCTGCCGGGGAAAGAGATACCAATATAATGATTTCCTGATTTCCAGAGTGAAATAAACTCGGCAGCTCGAGCGTGCATACCTTTCATGTCCACGTACGGGTCCGGGGCTGGCGTGCCGGCGTGGCCGGCCGTGGGGGCGGGGAACGGGGGCGGCGCGATGCCTTGGGGGGCGGGCAGGGGCGGCGGCGGCACGGAGTAGGTCTCTGAGGCCGGCCGGGGGCTGAGGTAACTGCCGGACTCTGTCAACAAAATCACAGCCGAAATCATTCCCCTCGTCCAGGGGAGACCGCCGCCTTAGCACCGCCTGCCGCGCGGGTTGGGCTCTCACCGTCATTGGAGAACGCGGTGCCGCCGCCGTCAGCGTCCGTCATGTTCTGCAGGATGGTGTACACGTTGCTCAGCTCGGACATTTGCTGGAAGGGAACGGGTCATGAGTCTAACGGCCGTTTGCTAAAAACGAGAGCCTCTATCGAGGCCTGCGACTCACCATGTAGCCCTGCAGCGCGCACGCCAGGCGCGAGTAGCCGGCGCGCTCGCCCAGCTCGGCGGGCGTCAGGTCGTTGCAGTTGCGGACGTAGCAGGCCTGCTCGCCGCCGGGGCCCTCCAGCAGCGCCATGGCCAGCCGCTCCAGGCCGAAGTGCGCGGCGAAGTGCAGCAGGGTGGGGTACTGCTCGCAGCCTGGCGGAAAACAGAAGAGGAGTTTTGGAAAAAAATGATTTTTGGGGAGTAGTAAGAGAGCGCCAAGCGCCGCGTCGCACTCACTGTAGGAAGGGGCGGCCCTGCTCGCGGGGCCGGGGTCCTGCAGCAGGTTGAAGTGCGGCGGCACGTTGCGGAGGTAGCTGCACAGGAGGGAGTTGTCCAAGGCGTCTCGGTCCGAAGGCCCGAAGCCCAGAGTCTGAACCCAACAGCAGCCGACACTCGCGTCAAAACCGAAAGAAATAAAATATTGCAACACGTACGGCGCGAAAGAAGTTTGATCTACCTGGCAGAGGTACTGCAGGGGGTTGTCGCGTGCGCGCAGGATGCGGTCCAGCTCCCGCAGCCTGCTCTCGCACTTGAGCTGCCGGGTGCCCAGCGGCTGGCCGTTGACGGACACCGTCACGCTCACCATGGCGGACACGTCCAGCATGTCCTCTGCAAGCGTCGCGAGGTCAGAACCGGTCAAACAGTTGGACAGCAAGGTGGTGGTTTGTATGGACGTACCTGGGATGGAGAACTGCAGCGTGTAGGGGTTCCTGGAGCGCGAGGGCAGCGCCACGGCCTCGGAAGGCGCGCCCTTGTGCACGGCGACGTGGACGTCGTCGCCCGGCTGCAGCGGCGACACGAGCAGGGCGAGCACCTTGTTCATGCCCTGCTTCACCTTCTTGGGCGCGAGCGAGAAGAGGGCGCCGCCGTCCGCCGAGCGTCGCTCCTTGGCGGCGCGCGCCCGCCACGCCCGCACCAGGATGTCCATGGCCACGGCCAGGAACTCGCCGACGAAGCTGGCGTCCTGGTCGCGCACCGCCATGCGGCGGCAGTCGCCGCCAAGCACTGCAAGCAAACGCTTTGGTTTAGAAGCTGCTGTGTGCGAAGCGTGCGAAGCCACGGCCGCGTGTTCGCGACGGCGCCGCACCCACCTGCGCGGTGCTCGGGCTGCAGCTCGTACTCGTGCACCCCCAGCAGCATGATGAGCGCGCGGTCCGAGTCCAGGCGCGCCATGGGGCCGGCCAGGGCGGCCAGGCTGGACGACAGGCGGGCCAGCATCACGGGGCACACCACCAGCACCACCAGCTTGGCCAGCTCCAGGCGCGTCCTCCAGCGCTCGGCCACCGCGCCCTCACCGGCCAGCTCGTCCACGCTCACGTCGGACGTCCTGGAAAACGAATCGATTGTTGGGCATCGGGTGTCTCTCTGGTCCGCATAGCAATACCGTTTTGTCCTCACCTGAAGCTCGGCCTCCCGCGTTTGCGGCAGATCTCCACGAAGCAGGACTGCAAGTACGTGATCCACAAGGACGCCGCCGACGTGCCGCCGCCGCCGCTCCACACCATCACGATGTCGTCGGCCAGGGTGGAGGAGGTGGCGCTGGCCGTGCTGGGTGCAGCCGTCGACGAGAGTCCTGCGAGGCCAGTGTCAAGCGCGTGAACCGGGTGTCGATGAGACCGCGGGGGCGGGCTGACCCGTCTCGACCCGCTGCCCTGCGAGCGTGTGCTGTACAGTGCATGGCCCTTCCACCGCGACGCACTCCAACAGGTACTCCAGCAACAGGTGCCGCGCTGGGCCATAAGCGCAGCAAAGCGCAGCTTGACCCAGTGATGATTCACCCAGTGGCGGCGCGGTGCACCACAAAAACCGAGCACACGTGTTGGCGGCGGTGCTGTGTGCGCGCGTGTGTGTGATGGCGAACGGCGTGGGAACAGCCTCTCACAGATGCGCCGCGCGGATCGGAGCCGAAAAAAAAAGGATTCGTCTTCCCTCGGTACTGGTGTACTCACCATGGCTGGCGGCCGTCCTGGGCCTGGCGCTGTGCATGACGGAGCCCACGGAGTGCCTGCGGTGGGCCGTGGCCGAGGCCGCGGCCTCCACGTTGTAGTAGCCGGGGGCGGCGCGCGGCATGGTGCCCGCCGTGCCGGCGGCGTGCTCGCGGTGCTCGCGGTGCTCGCGCAGCCGGCCCGGCGACACGACGGGCCCCGGGGACGCGAGCGGCCCGTCCATGGCGGCCAGGGCGTCGCTGGTGGGCGAGGGCGGTGCCACGTCGCCGGGCCGCGGCTGCCCCAGGGCAATCTGCTGCAGCGACGTGCTGCTCCCGGACATGGACCGCAGCAGCCACCGGAAGCCCAGGCGGCGCGTCGTGGCGGCGCCTGGAAAAAATGAAAAGTTTCAGGGACGCTTGTGCCAGGCAGGGGGAGAGTCCAACACAGTGAACGTCATTCTGGCCATGGCTGTCCAATGCAGACAGTATTGTCCCCGCTACGGTCATATGCTCTACTCCATCCTTTATTTCGATTACTAACAGTGACTCGTGTCATCCCTCGGGCGAAACTGAAGCCATGCAATGAAATAACACACGCGGGGCCTTCCCCAGGCCGGACTTCGAACAAAGGAAAGACAGAGCCAGTGCTTAGGATGTAGGTCGTGGCGGGGTGGGTTGGGGACGCCGGCGGGAGAGGCGAGCACTACAGGGGTTGCTCCCTCTCTCTCCGCGCTCGGCGGCAATATTCGCATCGCGCCGTGCTTTTCGCCACTAGAACGTTCCAGCTGCTTCCAGGAAGCTCCAGATTCCAATTACCCCGCCATATCGACCCGTTTTCTCCCTTATTTTCCCCTCTCTCTCCATCTTTCTCTGTCTACCTTGCGAGACTGCTCTCTGGCCGGCGACGGTTGTCATGGCACCGCGCTGTCTGCGCTTCAGAAGGGGCAGCAGGGGCTTGGTGGGCGGCGCGGGGGCAGCGGCGGCGGCAGGGGCGGCGGGGGGCGGCGGCGGCGGCGGCTCCGGGGTGGGTCTTCCCGCCTGGTCCGCTGAGGCCGCGGCGCCAACATCGAAGTAGGAAGGGTTGTCTGAAACACACAAAAACATTTAGTCCGGAAGGGTTGGGGACGTACTTTAAGGATGCCCCCAAAATCAAAGCGGAGAGGGGGAGCGGTCAGCGGGAGGGGGAGGGCGAGGGGTACCGAGAGGAAGGAACGCAAACGGCACTCTCCTCACGTCCGTATACACTTCCTGCTGCTGTTGTGGCGTGGGGCCCCAGCAGGGCGCGTCCTCGCCGCTCGCAGCCCGGCCCCTCGAAGAACAACATTGTGCTGCCTGTACAGTGTAACTGTACTGCTGCACTGCTGGCCGACGCGGGACTGCAGTGATGCCGAATGACGGCACGTGCATGAAAACAATTTCGCGGTCTGCATCGTCGGCATAATTTTTCTGCTATTCAACAAGCGTAGCCTGGGGGAGGGAGAGAGAGGGAGGGGAGAAAGGCTTGTGCGAGGGACGGGGCAAAAGTATTGGGAATCCGCCAGAACCCCCAGCCGAGCCCCACAGCGCGTCGCGCCGTGCCGCGCCGTGCCGCGCCGTGGCGTGGCGTGCCGAAAAGCAATGCACGGCGCAGGCGGCCGGCAGTGTGCCGGCAGCACGGCAGCTCAGCTTGGCGTAGTCATGACAGCGACATTGATCGGTGCCGGAACGACGTTCTGGACCGTTCTGGACGCAGATTCGCCTCGCTCTGCTTCGCTCTGCTTCGCTCTTCGCCTCTTGAACTCACCGAGCGCATCTGAGGCCGTCATGGGGGCGTGGTGGCGCGGGGAGGGGCGCCGGTGCCTGGCAACCTGGGGCAAGTGGGGCAGGCAGGGCGGCCCGGGCGCTGCGTCAGGCCGGGACCCCGCGGAGGTGAATCACTGCACACCCACTACGGCACTGCCAGCACGATGACGGACCGCGGGTGGACCCCGCGAGCGCACACACACGCGCTTACACGCACCGCCACGACACGCCAAGACCGGCACGGCTCACGGCACCGGCACCACACTGAACTGAAGGCGGGCCGCGGGCGCAAAGCAAAGCAGACCCGAAGGGAGCGCCGCCCAGACGGGGCTGGCGGCCAAGCCGCCGGCTATGTAACCCTGAGGGGCTGCACGGCCTACGGCCGGCGGGCAGGCAGGGCTGGCAGCCAGCCCGGCAGGCATTGCCTGAGGGGCTGCTGCGGGGCCCCCACGCCCCGCCACGCCCCGCCACGCCCCGCCACGCCCCGCCACAGGATGAATGGAGGGGGAGGGGGGGCAGTTGTCCGCCGTTGTCCCGCTCGCTCCAACGGGAAGCGAGCGGCGGAGCGAGCGAGAGAGACAGGTGCGGGCGGAGGGGGGGGGGGAGGGGAGGGCCATGCGGGCGTGATTTGTCCCCAGCATGTGCTTCCTCGGAAGGCGTCCCCCCCACCCCTCCCCCCGCCCCCATCCCAAAGCAGGCAGGCAGGCAGTGCAAGGCACGCACACAGCCACGCCATGGCCACGCACGGACGCAGAGGCAAATGAATGAGCCCGACTGTTTGTTCCCTAGAGAAAAACGTCAAGTTGTAACATCGTGTCGCGACCAGCGTAGGACATGCATTACGCGCGCTCGCTCACACACACACACACACACACACACACACACACACACACACAGAGGGTCGATATCAGTCGAGGCGAGGATGTGTGCATAGGCTAGAAAGTAAGCAAAGCGGCGGGAAGAAAGTGGTCCAGAACGCGCAGCGCGTTATCGAGAGCCTTATCGGCGTCGGGGGATGATGACTCCATGCCCAGTATCGACGGGTCGCCCGACCCTGACCGAGGCCCGCAGTAAACTGGCGCGTCTGTGTGTGCGTGCGTGTGTGTGTGTGTGTGTGTGTTGAGTGCGTGCGTATCTGTGTGTGTCTGTGTGTGTGTGAGAGAGGGTCTAAGCTCCACTTCCGGTGCACCTCCAGGCCGAGCGCTTCGGCTTATCGCCAGCCACGGTCGCCGCCCGCCGGGCAGGCAACCCAACCGACTCGCGCCTGCTCGCGCCGAGAGCCGAGAGACGTAGGCAACCCTTCGGGCTCCTCAGCTCGACACCTGACGTTATCAGTGGGGTTCCCTGTTCGAGGTGGGCGTAGCCAGGCAGACTGATTCCGAGAGTCGTTTTCGTCGCTCTGTCTCTGTCGCACTCACAGGGCGTCCTGTAAGGTGCGAAAGAGACAGAGCGAAGAAAACGACTCTCGGAATCAGCCTGCAGGCGTCTAGTAGCACGAACAAACGTGACGCGATATGCCTCGGAGGCGTCGTCTGCTTCCTTCACGTGTTCAACGTGTTCGGAACTCACAAGAATTTGGAAACTGGTTTACAGAAGCGGGCTAAGTGGGAAGCAGCAAGTGACAATACCTCCCACGTACTAAGTCCCTTTAAACCCGTTTATTTGTTATTTTTCGGTGTCCGAACGGTGATGCAACTCCGTAAAAAGTTGTGTTATGACCCGAAAAGACGTCTCAGGAGAGTATTTACCACCGTGGCGAAATAAAAATCCACCAAAGTTCAAAGTCTTTGAACAATACTCCGAAACCGGTGGCTTCCGTTCTGGCGCTGCTCTCAAGGCCGTGTTGCCAGGACCCCCCCCCCCCCCCGCCTTTCATCCTGTGGGCTGTGGGCCTCGTCGTCCGTCAAACCTCGTCGCCTATATACGAAGCGCCAGCGAGCGACACACACTGTCAAGTGCACACACGTTCGGAGGAGCCCGCTACCTCTGCCGCGAGCCCTGCCAGCCCTGCGACCGTTTACGAGGGTACGACAACAAGTGCGCCAGGATCACTTTTATTGTTTTGATTGTTAGTTTATCTCGGGGGATCGATTCGCGGTGCTGAGGCGTCGAGATAAGGACTGTAGCGTCGACATAACCTCTGTTGGTGTGCTTTTGGCCGCAGACCGGCACCGACGCAGCAGCACGTCAACACAACACACCGCCCCTCGCCCTCGCCTCGCCGCCGAAGCCATGGCCAGACCCAAGGTGCTCGTCAGCCTCAACGAGGGCCCCGAGGCCGCCATCCGGCTGCTCAGCAAGGAGTGAGTTCCCCACAGTGCCTCTGCCACTACTTGAACCAAGTTGTTGTCGTCCTGACTGACCCCGCTGTGACCTGGGCCTTCCCTGCGCAACTCGGGGCAACTTTGGACACATTCCCCATTTTGCGTCTGGTGCGTTCCCACCGCAGATGTGACATCATCGCCGCGCCTCCGAGCCGCGAGGCCATCCTGGAGCGCGTGCCCGGCGTGGACGCCATCTACTGGTGCTGCAAGGTGAAGCTGGACGCCGAGATCATCAAGGCGGCGGGTGGGTCGGGTCTTTCAGCCAGTGTAGTGACGAGACGAGCACGGAGAGGAAACAGGCTGACCGGAGGCGCGGGGTATTCCCGTTTGCCATTGCAGGCCCCGGCCTCCGCGCGGTGTCCACCATGTCGGCGGGCTACGACCACATCGACGTGCGCCTGCTCAAGGAGATGGGCATCCCGTTCGGCAACACGGCCAGCCAGCTGACGGACGCCGTGGCCGACACGGCCGTGTCCCTGGTGCTGGCCGTCACGCGGCGCCTCAAGGAGGGCCACCGCACCGTGGAGCGGTGGGTATCGCCATCGCCGGCAGGGCTCTGCAGGCGCGGGGTATGTCCGCGTCCGCGTCCGCGCCACTGACGTGACGGCTTTGCGATCCGCTTTGCAGGGGCCAGTGGGACGCCGGGCTGCTGGGGATAGACATCGCGGGCTCCACGGTGGGCATCGTGGGGCTGGGAGGCATCGGCCAGACCTTCGCCAAGCGCATCAAGGCCTTCAACGTGGGGCGCATCCTGTACACCGGACACAGCCCCAAACCCGAAGGTCAGTCTGGTCCACCACACTGCAGTTTCTCATTTGGAAATCTTCATCATATATTTTTCAAGGGGTCGTTTACTTTGTGATCGGTTATGCACTTTAAGTAATTCATCTGATTGTTATTTCTCTTGGATTTGCAGCTGCTGCGCTTGGTGCAGAGTTTGTTCCATTTGATAAGCTCGTCGAACAAAGTGACGTTATAGTGGTCGCTTGCCCCCTCAATGCTGAGACTAGGGGCATGTTCAACGCAGAGGTCTTTAAGAAGATGAAGCCAACTTCCGTTGTGGTCAACGTTGGTCGAGGGGGTGAGTACCTTGGCTGCCTTTTCATGATACTGAAAATCCTGATCATCTCTCAGCTACATCTGACTATCACCGACTTTCACACATACAGAATGCATAGATCAGGATGCACTGGTTGACGCTTTGAGGAAAAAGGAGATCTTTGGGGCTGGACTGGACGTCATGGTGCCTGAACCCCTCCCCAAAGACCATCCTTTGATCACGCTAGACAATTGTGGTGAGTAATTTTACAAGCGTCTTCGACATACAGTACATTTTTATTATTTAAAGAAAAAACAAAATCAATACTTCCACTAAAATCATTTTTTCCAGTGTTATACCCCCACATTGGAAGTGCAACAGTTGGCACTCGAGCAGCTATGGCCGCAGGTGCTGCAGAAAATATTTTGTGCGCCTTGAAAGGACAGCCCATGCCTTCACCTGTGTAGATCAGTGGAATATTGAAGCAACTATCTTGTAAACAATTGTATTCAAGTTTCTTAAAACAGTTTATTAATAAAATATTTCTGACTTTAAGACAATGATATATACACAGTCTAAACAATTCTCCTTCTTATTCTAACAGATTAAACTTAAATAACTGATCACAATATCATCTGTCAGTTAATATACAACATAATACAAATATTTATAATCGAACAAAAAAAAAAAGAAGACAAGAACAGGAGATGAGTAAAAATTTGAGTTCAAAATTTTCTTAGGAAGGTGATTGAAGCAGTTTAAGTTCACCACAAAAATAACAATCAGTCCGCTTTCATCAACATCAGTTCACTCTCTTGAGAAAGACTGTCCAATAGGATTCACACAGCTTTCACACATCACTATATTCGAAGCACAAGTACTGGTATTGTTCGCCTGACTATCATGGTCATTCACATGACCACATTCCAATCCTGGCCAGGCGAAGGTTCTCCTCAGGATTCTATCACAGCACCTTTAAGCTCTCCCAAGAGAGGCTCAATGAGGTTCTCCAAAGACAAGATGTGGCCAGTATTGCAGTCAGCCGTTGCCACAAAGTTAAGTATCAGTGGCAACTTGTTCATTTGAATCACCTGTAAGCAAAACAAGATAGTAAAATACAAACTTAAAGCACAAACTAGTAAAAATATTAAAGATTCACATAAAATTTTAAATAACCTGATATGATGAGTACATGCAGATGATTGTCTTATTTCTTCCTTGTCCCAGTTTGCTGCTTTGATCAGTTGCCATTGCAAAGGTGGTCAGAAAATTAGGCCTCATGGCAAGCTCTGGGCACTTATCGTTGACAGCTACAATATGGATAGTTTAAATAAGTACACTGATAAATGAACTCTCATTGGTATAGATTTGATGAATCATATAAACATACCTTTAAGAATAGGGACTCCATCTCTGTCCGTGATCAGAATACACAGGAGGTTGTCAACTCTAAAACGAAATGTAAAAAAATCAGTGAATAAATACAGTGAGACTTGATTGACACGAGTATTGCTACCAATGACTGACTCGAAGATTGTTAGTCATACTTACCGCAAAAGCAGCTGTTTCAGGTACTTCTTCATATCCTACAACAAAAGAAATAAGAACTCATGAACCGATAGTTAACATCGTTCTTATCTTTCAACGAATAAATCAATGAAAAGCGAAGCATGTGGTTGATGATATCGTAAAATCTACAAAATGTCACAAAGCACAAGAGGCCTACAGACCCAAACAGTAGACAGGGGTTATGTTTCAGGTCATTGTTTGCTTACCTCAGCCATTGTGAAGTGATACGGGAGAACAGTAGTTGCCTTTCAATGAAAAGAGCTGTCAGAACCGAACGATAAGCACGGGAGGACTGGAAAAGAGGAAGAAACTGGCACTGAACACACTAAGAACTCCAGTCACATCCGCCCATGGATTATTGCTTATTGCTCTTGTTAGTTTCTCATATTTTTGTATTGGTTGGTCACGAACCTATGATGAGAAATTAGTAGTGCTGTTTATTTGTGCTAAAGCTGTCACAATCATTTGTGAAGTTTTTTGACAATATCTCTGTAGAAGTCGAAGTTCCAGTGGTTTCTTCAGATTTTTCGAACTGCATATGTTGTATTGGAACCTGGCCAAATGGTACGTGCATTTGTCAGTGCTACTAGCAGAAAAGGGCGGCGTTAATCCGCTACTAACCTTCTGTTTCTTTGTTGATAAGAATCCTTCCACTACTGATTTGCTGTTTGCCGGTTCTATGATGTAAAATCGTGGCATTTTCAAGCATGGACATTCTTACCTATCTGTCGTTTTGACTCTGCACTTCTCTTCCTGTCGATCTGCGGTAAAATTCACTCCAGCATCTTCTTGTGTTTCCAGGCAAAACCAATGCGAGATATTCAGTTGCCGAAGGACTCACCATCAGAACTGTTGTTACAAAAGCACATTGAATTTCTTGCCAACTATGGAACAGACAAAAATGATTATGTGAGTTTTACATTTTTTATTTTTTTTCAAATGACAGTGGTAGTGGTAACTTGGAAAATCGGCACTAACTGAAACTATTATGTTTTTTCAGGAGTTTTGTATGACGGAGTATATGAGGATGTCAGGAATGTATTGGGTCATGACTGCCTTGGATCTAGTCGGATGCAAAGATAGGTTACCTGCTGATGAAGTAATATCTGCTGTCGCAAAATGTCAAGAAGACACTGGGGGCTTCATTCCGAGCCCTGGCCATGACGCCCATATTCTGTACACTCTCAGCGCTGTGCAGGTAAATTTTTTATCAAGTTTGGGTTGAGATGTTGCCCTATGGTTGCTCCCCCATTCTTCTTAATATGGATTTCTCTACTTTACTAATTTACAACTGTGTGTTTCTTTTTCAGATTTTAGTAATGTATGATGCAGTTGACCTCATTAATGTAGAATCTCTAGTATCGTATGTAGTTGGGTTACAACAGAAGGATGGTAGCTTTTTTGGAGACAAATGGGGTGAGGTGGACACAAGATTTTCTTTCTGTGCTGTTGCCTGTCTTTCTCTTGTGGTGAGTAATTATCTCTATTTTTGTTCCAACCATTGTCCTAACTTCAAAAGGAATGCAAAGAAAAATGTTATTGTATGTTTCTGTTGTTGTTTTTAGAATCGTCTGGATGCCATTGATGTCGATAAAGCAGTCGAGTTTGTCATGAGCTGCATGAATTTTGATGGGGGATTTGGATCTCGCCCGGGTGCTGAAAGTCATGCAGGCCTCATATATTGCTGTGTGGCGTTCCTCTCAATTACTGGTAATTATTCAACAGTAATGCAAGTATTGCTATCCCCATGTCTCATTTATAAGAATTTTGATGATGCCTGTGATCGTATTGTACAGGTGAGCTGCACAGAGTGGACGCTGACCTTTTGGGGTGGTGGCTGTGTGAGAGACAATTACCATCGGGTGGTCTGAATGGACGCCCTGAAAAGCTGCCAGACGTATGTTATTCGTGGTGGGTGCTCTCCTCACTCAGCATTCTGGGACGGCTACACTGGGTACACAAAGATCAACTTGTTAGATTTATTTTAGCTTGCCAGGTAAGTAACTCACCAAAAAAAATCAAATTTGCTTTGATTTGTAATTGTTTTTTTTTTTTTTTAATTAAGGTTTTTTTAAAGTCACGGCTCACCAGAATATGGGGCCAGTGATCGTAATAACCTGATCCTTACATCTGTTGGGCTGGCAGCCTTTCTGAATTCAAAAAATGTAAAGTAGACCCTCATTTTATCCTGTCGCCTTAAAAGTTTCCCGAGGTTAAATTTGGATTGGCCTCTTCCAAAGGGGCTTTGGGGGACTTGCTGGAAAAGAAGGTCTTGAATGTTAAATAAATTATAAAAGTGCCCATTTTTGGAATTTTTGGTATTCTGGGTGTTTTGGTGATCATTTTTCCTTTTTGTCCTGCAAATTTATTACGACCATGCAAAAAAAACAATATCGGGTGTGATCTAGTCTGTAAGGTTGCCTGTCCCAAAAATAAACTTTTGGTTTGAATTAAAAATCATACATTTGCAAAGAATTTTTTTTTTGGTTATGTGTGACTTTTTAAGTGCTTCAGTGGTAAAGAAAAGAAATAAATTTCTACCTCATTTTTGAAAAATTTATCCTGATCAGAACGCAAAAACTGGAAATCTAATAATTTTTGGAAAGTTATAAAATGTCCTTCTGGAAGGCATCCAAATTGGAAACTAATCGACCAAAAAGCATTGCGTGTTCTTCCGTTTGATCCAACTTTAGTTTGTTTGTTTCACCCACAAGAGAAAACAAACGAAGCCTCCGAAGAAACGCTAAGTCACAGTGTCCTATAGGAATGACAGTAAAAACAAAACTACCACACAGCGGAAACTATTCAAGTTTTCTCGTATCTTGGACCACTACTTGAAAGAGTGACGCTTTACCTACAAATTCTGACACTTTCCATTCAAGAATATACTCCCTGCCCCGAATGGCAGTCCCACAAACATTACTCGGCACTCAGCTGCCCTGGAGAGCGATGACCGGCTCTAGGCATCGCCCCCCAACGGACTCGCGCGAAGCATTTCCGGTCTGGAAATTTCAAATTGCACTCAGGACACCCGGGACTTGCGTTTCAGACCGAAACAGTGGTTTGAATGGGTTTTAGGGGCAATAATAGGGAACGTCCTTCTGGAATGACACAGTGACTTAAAGGGTTAATGAAGGTTTTTTTAAATTGAAATTATTTCTTTTGTGTCTCTTAGGACACAGAGACTGGTGGCTTCAGTGATCGCCCTGGAGATATACCTGATCCTTTCCACACTCTGTTTGGCTTGGCAGCTCTTTCACTGTTAGGGGATTCAGAGAAAATCAAGTCAGTAGACCCTACATATTGTATGCCTGTACATGCCCTTCAAAAGCTTGAATCAAAACCGCAACGGCTGTACATTTGAGAGGTTGGCCTAAAGGGGACTAATGCACAAAGGGGTCTTCTGGTGTGCACAAAAGTTGCGGTGTATTTACAAGAATGTTGTACTATAAATGTTATATTATAAATTATTATAAGTGTATACTGACCATATCTTGCTTTGACATTAATTTAATCAGTGTCATTATGTCAAGGTGTAACTTTGGTAATCATATTTTTATATACCTTTTTAATGTCCTAGCAGGGAAGTATTACGTACCACTGTTCATTTTAAGAATTTGAAACAATTCATTGTGATCAAGTCTGTAAGGTTGCCCTGCTCCTGCAGTAAGGAATCAAATTTGCATTGTTTAAAATCATGACATGTTTCCAATTGTTGTTTTTTTTTGTTTGTTGTTAGTTCTTTTGTAGGGGGTGTAGATATGGTACTGCAGCGCTTCAGCTGTTGTTAAATAAAGCAATAAACCGGTTTCTTTCCTCATTTTTGAAATATTTATCTCTGATCAGAACACAACAAACAACAATAAATATCATAAATAATTATTTGGAATAAGTTATTAAAACTAGTTTTAACAGTATGGGTAATGTCTCCAATTGGGCTTCACATTCTAAATGGCCTCAGAGAGCCATTGGAGACGACCTGGAACTACGCACCGAACAACGAAACAACTAATCCTCCGCTGACAGAAACAAGACCGTACTTTCCACATAACTTATCACACGAATCTTTGCCAAAAGAGTAGCCTAGTGAAACGTCGCCAGCGACTGACGCAGAAAATTTCCCTAAAATAAATATTTTAAATTATTTGGCCGCTTTTCCGGAGCTCCGCTCCGCCAGTCACCCCCGGATGGCGCTTCTCCTGGTCCGCCGCCGGGTCTGCGACTCCGGCCTGATGGTCGACGACGTCGAGGTGTCGGTCGACGGCGGCGGCGTCGGGAGGGACTCGTCGGTGTCCGAGGACTGCGTGGAGGCGTGCAGCTTCAGACTCCTGCCGGAACAAGCGAGAACGCAAAATACGATTCCACTTCACAACGTCAAAAGTGAGAGACCTCAACGCAACACGTGTTGCCTACCCTCGACTTGGCAGGGGCTCCGCCTCTGCTGTCCGCGTCGCCCTGTCTCTCTCGCACTCAAGGGGGCGCCCCGTAGGCGTCCGAGAGAGACAGGGCGACGGAAGCAGAGTTCGCAATCTACGCTTCTACAGCTCGACGCGAATTCCGAAGTGAGTTTCATAGATATGTTGCTTAGATCGAGAACTAAGAGTTGGCCGGTTGCGTGGGGGAATTCCCTCAGTCCGCTTCAAGAAGAGCGTGGCTTCGCTGGAGTGACGCGTGACGTCAGGCCGTCGTTTTAGCGGTGTGGGCGTGCTGGCGGTGCTCGTACCTGCCGAGGTTCTCCATGCGGTCCAGCCCCAGGCTGCGGCCCAGGTGCGCGGCGAGCGAGGCGAAGGCGTGGGGCGCGCTGCCCGGCGCGCTGCTGGGCGCCACGCGGCGGTGGGGCTGGGCGTGCGCGCCGTACGCCGCGGCGGCACCGTACGCGGCGGCCGCGGCGGCGCCCGGGTGGGCCAGCTCGGCGTACATGTTGCTGGCCGCCGTCTCCCAGTCGCCGCCGTGGTGCGAGTACGAGTACGGCGTGGCCGAGTGCAGCTTCTTGGCGCCCACGATGGCCGAGATGATGAGCGCCAGCTTGGAGGCCACGATGGAGGCGAGGGCGAGCAGCGACAGCTTGCCCAGGATGAGCGGCACGAAGCTGGCCACCTTGAGCAGGATGCCCACCAGCAGGGGCAGGATCATCTTCTTGCCCAAACGGGAGTAGCCCCCTGCAACGCGCCACAGTGTCACCAGTCACCCCCGAGCACAGACGTCAACACCGTCACGCAACGCGAGCACTGACTTGAGAAACCGTCGAAGAAGCCTTGGCCCCTGGCGGTGGCCGCCAAGTCCGCGTCGAAGTCGTAGTTGGCGGCCTCCTTGGTGTCCTCCGCGTCGGCCTGCTGGTCGGCCTGGTGGTTGGGCGCGGCCAGCAGCGCCGGCAGCACCAGCAGCAGCACCACGATCACCCTCTTGCTGACGACGGTGGGCTCCATGGCGAACTAGGGCCTGGACAGCCAAATTGCAAAACAAAGGTAAGGCGGAAGGGTTGGCGGATTCTACTCACTCTCGAATTGACTTTCTTTATTTATCCGTGGGAGTCCGGAACGTCCAGGAACACGCCGTCTGTCCGCCTGTCTGTCCGTCCGATTGTCCCCCGGAGTCCTTTTCCTTTCCTTTCCGCCATGGGATAGTTTCCCCCTTCTTCGGAGTCTACTCATGTCCAGGCCCGGGCCGCCGGGCCGCCGCGCGGCGCATCGCGACGCCGCGTCAGAGCGTCATGAGGCGTCGCCGTCACGGTCTGCATGTCACACGCGGCGCGCAGACGGACAAACAAACAGACGGACAGGCAGACAGACAGGCAGGTGGACGTAGAGGTGCTCCGGCAGGCAGTGCGGGGTGCCATTGCGGGAGAAATTGCCTCTGCCCGCGTCGCGCTGGAGGCACGCTGGAGGCACGCTGGAGGCACGCTGGAGTCTGGAGGCGGGTATATTCGGCGGCAAAGCGTCGCGACACGCGAACACTGCCGCCCCCTTGTCGGGAACGCCCCGCGCGTGGCGGGGCGGGGGGGGGGGGGGGGGGCGTGCACCGGTCATGCATGCGGTGTCCGCGCGTGTCGCCCGCACTTTCGCAATTAGAGGGGAAAAGCGAATCCGACTTAATTTGGCGAGCAGTCTTCACGCGGCGGAAAAGAAGAAAATGGCTTCCCGCGGTCCTTCCCTCTTGTTTTACAGGATTTATCAAACATTTTATTTTCTTCGGAAGTAAAAATTTGTTCCCAAAGCAAAAAGTTTTAAAAAAAGTTGTTTTGAAAGTTTTTCTTTAAATTAGAACTATTTTGTAAGACTTGTTGGTATTGGGACCATTTGATTAAACATCCACATATTGATCCTAAAAATCGATAAAAATCGAGAAGAATAGACTCGGCTGACATCCCGAAGGCTGATTTAGTTCCGTCCCGGCGGCGAAATCGCTTTCCGAAAGTCGCTCTTTTCGAGTGAGGCCCTAACGAGCGAGATGACAGGAGGGGCTGGCCGAAATAATTGCAGGCTCCGAAAATTAAATCAAGGCCCCGCCGAGCCGTGGCGCGGCACGGCACGGCACCGCGTGTCTAGCTGCGAGGCACCCCCCACCCCCACCCCCTCCCCTTATCCACCATCGGGCGGACTTTCATCCGTGATGCGATATCGCGTCTAGTTTTAATTAATACGTAGAACGCTCGTATTTGCCTGCCAGAGGGCGTGGCGTGGCGCGCAGTGCGTAATGTTGTGAACTGCGCTTTCCTCGGCCGTGTGCATGCTCTGTGCAGCCTTGCAGTCGGTGCAGTCGGTGCAGTCGGGGTTGGCCGCGCGCAACCCCGCGACGATCGGTGTTTGATAACGCTCCACGCTCTCCAATGCCCACCAATGCGGCCCCGTGTAACCACGCCTTTTCCCGCGCTTTTTGCTTTTTGTTAGGTTAGGTTAGGTTAGGTTAGGTTAGGTGACGAGAAAATGACGAGAAATTTCTGAGTCATGTGAGTTAACCATGGTCGTTTTGACAAAATTTTTGACACAATGAACGAGTTTTGCTTTCGACAAGAGGTCAATGACGTAACTTGATTTTTAATTTAGAACGCTGATGCGACCATAATCAGGCCGTTTATTCGTGCTCAAAACACTTTCCTGATTTTGACTAAGTGTTGGTTTTTGCTCCTTTTTATGGCACACCTTCTTGATCTGGGGTTTCAACATTTTACTTTTTGGGTCCTGCCGCGAAAGTTGTATCTTGGAAAAGTCATCACAGTGCCAAGGTCATGACAAATACTTTTAAAAAAATTTAATCTTTTTTTTTAGTCTTATAGACGTTTTTATAATACTTAACACTCCAACGCACTTTTTTTTAAGTTAAAAAATACGGAACATATTATATGTTACATAAAACTTCTTTTTTCACAAGTCGCTTGAATGGAATAACTCCAATGGAGTTCAGTCATTGGCACTTTCCCTTGGCCCCCAATAACTGGCCGTCTTTGATCTTCAATCAACTGACGTGGCAGCTATTTGACTGATCAGTGAATCAATCAATAGATCAATAACTGCCACAGTTATTTAGTAAAACTTTGTTGAACACCGACTGACCTGAGTTGGAGCAGGGCATGCGCTCTCGGCTTTGACTGTTCCGCCGCTCCTGTTTTTGTTGTTGTTGTCCCTGTTGTCACTGTTGTTGTTTGGTGTGCGAGGTGCTGCTGCCGCCTGTTCACTGGACCAGGTGCACTACACTGAGAGCCACGCCGGCAGCCTCCTAGCTTTAAAGCCTTGTGTCCGGGAGGCGCGGAGGGGGGAGCAGCGAAAGGGGAGGGTTGCGGGGGAGTGGAGGGCGGAGAGAGGGGGAGAGAGAGGGGGAGGGAGGGCGCCAGAAAGGGAAAGATGCTCCTCGTGGAGGGGACGAGTCCACGCGAGCCAGCTGTCACAGCAAGCCAGCACTAGAGCGCTTCCCGACCGAGAGCTCCGTCGCTCTGTCTCTCTCGCACCCCTAGGGGGGGCTCCGCGAGTGCGAGAGAGACAGAGCGACGAAGCCGCTGTTCACATCGCCGGCAGCACATGCGGTACAGTCCTGTCAACTCGGAGGATACGCACCTCAGCGGCCAGGACTGCCAGGACGTGAGGCATGCGTGGGACGCGTGCGAGTGCACCTTCGTGTGTGCGAGAGAGAGACACTAATAACAACACTGTCAGGAGACGTAAGTTTAACATGACGACAACCGAAATTGCGGTTTTCTTGGTAAAGTCGACAGAATAAACAATAGTCGAGGTCGAGAAGTCTAGCCTGTTTTGACGATCCGGTACGACGTCAATTTTTTCAAACTTCCGGCGAGTGTCTGAAAGGTGAAAAAGGGGGAGGGTGAATGTCTGAAAAACGCATGGAACCCTTTCACTGATAGCGGCACTTTAGAGTAACATGTATGATCTCGAGCTTTTTATCTCGATGCATTAACGAGCGCTGTTTTGTTGCGTGCTGTCTGATGCAAGTTGACTGCGAGTCTTGAGAATCGGCTGCACCTTATTGGCTGCCATGAGGCAATGACGTAAGCCCTTCTCCCTTTAGGGTCTTCACCCTTCCGCTTTCTTTTCGTACGCTCCGCGTTTAAATTGACCGTGGCCGCGGCTGGGCGCCGACCGGGCGCACTAACGAAATCACCTCCAAATGATTCCTCGAGCGCGCGGCTCCGAAAAACTTTCGCCCTCGGAAAGTTGAGGTATTTGCATTTGGCGTGGCCGTGGCCGGTTCGGCAGTAAAGTTTCGACGCACACGCTACGCACGCTACGCGTCGGCTTCTCTAGTCCACGTAAGCCGGCGCGGTCGGTGCCAAAAGGCCCAAAAGCAGCACCTTATCATCTTCGAACGCGGCGCGGGGGCACCGCGGGCGGCGGCCAGGCGGGGCCAGGACCGCGGAACCCAACCCGTTTCGAGTTTCGGCTCGTGGATAGTGCGGCCCCTACACTGCTTGTCGCGCCACCGACTGCACCACAGCGCGCCGCAGCGCGCGGAGGAAAGTGAGGGATCCCCTCACTGCCCGAGTCGAGCCGCGCGCCGTTTACGGCCTGCTAAAGACCGTCCGGGACATCGGCAGTCGCGTAAGCTGCACACTGATTCCGAGAGTCGTCCTCGTCGCTCTGTCTCTCTCGCACTCGTGGGGCGTCCCCTACAGGTGCGAGAGAGACAGAGCGACGTGTGGCGCCCTTCGGCGGCTCCGGTGGAGCGGGGCGAGGCGAACGCCCGGCGGGTAGGCCCGCCCGCCGCATCGACAGCCGTGGCGGCGCGGCCCGCCCTGCCGTCTGCAGGCGCCCGCCCCACAGTGGAGGCGGCCAAAACTCCAGTCGCGTTTTGAGCTCCAGAGTCACTAAATGAGACTCGAATCGAACGTGTGACCCCACCAATGGATTCCTCGTTCGGAGAGCAATCCATTGGTGGGGTCACACGTTCGATTCGAGTCTCATTTAGTGACTCTGGAGCTTGAAACGCGTCTAGAGTTTTGGCCGCCTCCACTGGTCTTCTGGCCCACTGTGCGCCCAGCGGACCCACTCCCAGAGTCCTTTTCGTCGCTCTGTCTCACTCGCACTCATGGGGCGTGCCGCACAGGTGCAAGAGAGACAGACCGGCGACGGAATCCGTCTGCAGCTTGCGGCTCCACCACACTGGCGGCGTCGCTGGCGCGTGGCATTCTGGATTCCGGGGCGCTTCAGGGAGACTGCGGCGCGAAACTGTCGGAATTCACGCGGCATCGGAATCTCCAGTCCGGGCCGTCACCCTCTATGGCGGGAAACCGGTTGAAATTGAAAAATTATTTCCCGCGCTGTTTAGTTCCACCATACGTGAAGCGCATTTGTTTCGCAAATTAGAATCCAGAAGTAAAATGTGAGTTTGACGAAGTGTCCGTGTCGTGTCGGTCCGTGTCTACCCGACCTTAGGTTTCCCTTCTCCCCTTCTCGACGTCGTCTTGACGGCGTTGCGAAACGTCATTTTGGCGGACGGGACGCGCAACGGCGACGCGGCGACGCCACTGTAAGAGCGCCTCGCCAAAGTCACGCGCGGCGGACGCGGCAAAACGCGGCAAAACGCGACGGACGCACTGCTCGTATCAGGGAGAGCGCGGCGAGGTGGTTGTCCCGACACCGGCCGTTTAATTCGCCACCGAGCCGCGCCCCGCGGGCGGACAGACGGACGCGCAGGCAGACAGACAGACAGACAGGCAGACAGGCAGACAGACAGACAGACAGGCAGTCAGACAGACAGACAGGACGGACAGACGGACGGACAGACAGACAAGATGAAGAGGGAAGGGCAGGGGGTGTTTTGTCGCACGGTTTGTCTACTGGCAGCAGCACTGCATATTGCCTTGAGGCTTTTGTGAGGGGACACAAGGGGGCGCAGTAGACCAGAAGAAGACCAGTGGAGGGCCAAAATTCTACACGCGTTTTGAGCTCCAGAGTCGCTAAACAGGACTCAAACTGAGCTTGTGACCCCATCAATGGACCCCTCGTTTGGAGAGCAATCCATTGGTGGGGTCACACGTTCGGTTCGAGCCCCATTTAGCGACTCTGGAGCTCAAAACGCGTCCGGGGTGTTGACCGCCCCCACCGGTATTCTGGCCCACTGTGCGGACGGACAACGGAGGTGTTGAACCTAACCTAACCTAAACTGCGCAGAGCGGCTCGTTACTGGTCCGTCACGGTTTTGGCTTCTCCTTTCTCTGATCCGGATGTCTGTCAACACGACACGCCGGAGGTGTGAGGCCTGGGCGTGGCGTGGCGGGGCGGGGCGGGGCGTGGCGTGGCGGGGCGTGGTCCAGGGGGCGTGGTCCAGGGGGCGGAGGCAGAGGCGGCAGGGGTAGCGCTGCTCTCACGAGCACGAGGCCCGGCGCGGTGCGGCGCGGTGCCAACGGACGGGCGGCGCTGAAAGCAAAAGCTCTACAAAGTAAAGCGCGATACTAACCGAGCGCCTCGGAGGAAGGCGGTAAGGATGGCACCCCACCTGAAGAAAGGCGAGACGAGTGACATGGCCCGCTCCGGAAGACAGCATTCCACAGCCGCCCCCTTGGGAACTAAAGATTCTACAGTGAGGCCGTCGTACCACGGTTGGGTAATGGAACGGCCGAGTGATGATTAATTCCAGATGCAGATGAAGTCGCGGTTGAAAATATCTCCGTGAAGCCTTTCGTTCGTGTGCAATGTCTAGTGAAATGTTTGCTTAAAAATGCAGCGGCCACGCCTCTGCTTCCAGCTGTTTCCAGCCGCCCGGTCGATGGGCTTTCTTGCATTCGTCGCTCTGTCTCTCTCGCACCCGTAGGGACGCCCTGCGAGTGCGAGAGAGACGGCGACTGACAGCGCGCCTTGTTCCACTGCTTGAGCAGCGCGCCGGGCCACAGTGGGCCAGGAGACCGGTGCAGGCGGCCGAAACTCTAGAAGCGTTTTGAGCTCCAGGGTCGCCAAACAGGCCTCGAACCGAACGTGTGACCCCACCAATGGATTCCTCGTTCGGAGAGCAATCCATTGGTGGGGTCACACGTTCGGTTCGAGTCCCATTTAGCGACGCTGGAGTCTGGGAGTTGGGCCGCCTCCACCGGTCTTCTGGCCCACTGTGCAGGCGCCGCCGGGATGACAGACGGCAGTGTGGTGTACAGTCGTCGTCGCGCAGGGCGGCGCAGGGCGGCGCAGGGTGCATCGGACTGCAAAAGTGCATTGCCGGGACGACGTCGCCTGCGACTCCCCCTCCCCCAAAACAAGTCCCTTTTCACCATCTCGAGACATCAACGCCGCGGAGCGGAAAACGCGCCACGCGCCGCATGAAAAGTGAGGGGGAGATAGCAGTGGAGGCAACCGTCTGCGTGTCAGTGCGGCAAGGCAAGGCAAGGCAGCGCCTGCGTCAGGGCGGACGCGCGCGTGTGAGTGAGTAGGTGTGTGTGTGTGTGACTGCGAGCGTGTGTCTGTGTGGGTGCGAGTGCAGCGAGAGGCGGGCGGTGCCTTATGTGCATGATTCCTATTACCGCGTGCTGCTTGCTGCCGCTGCTGCCAACTTACCCGTGTTGCGGTGCAGTGGCCGGGCCGGGCAGGGCCGGGGCCGGCCGGCCTGGCTAGGCTAGGCTATTAGCGCCCCCATGCGTGCCAACATCACTTACAATTACACTTCTTGGCTCGCAGGGGGAAGGGGGGGGGGACGGCACGTGCATTGACTGAGATCTCTTCATTTCGGATCGGCCGGCCGGTGGCGTGCAACCCGGAAAGCAGGGTGCTTCGCCTTGCGATGACGCACAGTGGGCCAGAAGACCAGCGGAGGCGGCCGGAACTCTAGACGCGTTTTGAGCTCCAGAGTCGCTAAATGGGACTCGAACCGAACGTTTAGTTCGAGTCCTGTTTAGCGACTCTGGGGCTCAAAACGCGTCCAAAGTTTTGTCCGCCAGCACCGGTCTTCTGGCCCACTGTGGGACGGATTGCGGCTGGAGTAATGATAATAAATCATCGGAGCTTGGTACTGCCCTCCTTGGGTAGCCAAACGTCCTTGAAGAAGCTCCGCGCCCCAAATCGGCGTTGGCCGGGCCCAGCATGCGAATACATACGCGAAACTTGCCCGCGGTGCCCGCTAGAGAGACGCTAGATAGAGAGATCATCGAACGGCCCGCGGCCCGGCAGTAAAACGCAGAGCGCCCGGCCAATTAGCAGTGCAGGAGCTTTAATGAGATGGCGGCGTGGGGCGCAGCGCCCGAAAGGCAGTGTCTCGGTGGCCGAGGCGCCGAGGCAGGCCGAGGTGGTCCTTGAAAGCGTGGCGGCGTGTCGGCGGTCTCTCCCTCCAAAGCGGCGACGGAGACGACACGTCTCGTGCTTGCCTCTCTTCTTCTCGACGGCGGCGGCGGCCCGCGGCACGCGCCCCGCGCACAGTGGGCCAGAAGCCGGCGGAGGCGGCCGAAACTCACGACGCGTTTTTAGCTCCAGAGTCGCTAAAAAGGACTCGAACAGAACGTGTGACCCCACCAATGGATTGCGCTCCGCACGAGGAATCCTCTGGTGGGGTCACACGTTCGTTTCGAGGCCTGCTTAGCGACTCTGGAGCTCAAAACGCGTCGTGAGTTTTGGCCGCCTCCACCGGTCTTCTGGCCCACTGTGCGGCCGTGTGTGCGCCGAGCGTTTGCTCGACGTTTATGGCGCTATCGCTCGAGATATCGATATCGATACAGAGATCGATTCGGAGCCGCGCGGTGCACAGCCGCTATGTGGAAGCGCATTGCCCCAAGCATTCGCCGGCTTGCGCACTCGCCAGTCCTTTCCATTCATTTGCCATGCAGTCGTTTCTTCAAGGCGGAAATTACCGGTAAAGGCCACACAAAATTTCAAACATTAGGGCTGGGTTGTTCTGCAGAAAGGAATGTAATCTTTCTAGTAACCTGAAAATTGGTTTCTTCACTGGAATTCTTGTTAACAGTTGTTAATGTTAATGAATGAACTATACAATTTATGGCCATCTGAAAATTTTTTGGTACAGGCACCACTTGCACCAAAAAAAGCAAAATTTAGGGAGTTTCTCTTTAAATAGTTTTTACATGAGGGTTCATAATTGATGCACAACAAAATGCTGGCACGGAACGGCAAAATGAACTCAGGTAGAGGTGCGTGTGAGTGTGGGACCACCGGAAGCAGTCCCAACAAACTGAATTTGCTGAAGTGTTTGTGAGTGCAAGAACTCACGTCATTCTCCCTTTTTCCGCGCAAAAAAGCTCTTAAATAAACAAACAAACTGACCGCTTTGTCTCCCCGCCAGTGGCGCCAACGCCTCGCCGGCGAGTCGCCGAGAGCGAAAGGGCTTCGGCCGGCTCCCGAAAGAAAGAAGGGGTCTGAAAAAGAGCGAGTTAAATGAGCAATTTCCACGTTGCCAAGCCACTTAGCCGTGATTTGGAGTGCCTGCGTGTGTGCAGCAAGGTGTCTGTGCCGTGACGCCCTGGCCCATATAGTGTGCCCCCTCCCCGGCCCTCGCGGTGCCCCCCTCCCCGCCTCCGGCGCCCCCGCGGCCCCCGCCACCCAGCCCGCCGGGCGCGGAGGGCTCCGCGGGGGGCTCCAGGGGGGCCGGCGGCGCACGCGCACGCCGTCAGTGCAGTGGCCGCCACCTGGGAGTCCGCAGCAGCTCCGCGAGCCGTCCCCGTCCAGCTCACGGACCCCGCCGTCCTGCACACTGCACACGGATACCGCCACCGAGTCCCTGCAGGACCCGCGGGTTCCTCGTTCCAAAGACCCCGGCCGAAGCAGCCCGCCGTGCCGCCGCCGCCGCCATGGAGTGCAAGCCCGAGCGCCTCTTCCTGGCCGTCGCCGTCGTGGTGCTGGCGGTCGCCGCCGTCGCCGGCGAGGACACCAAGGCAAGTACGGTGGACGCGCGGCGGCTCGCGTCGTGTTGCCTCGCAGTGTCTCGGACTCCAAAGTTCAAACCCGCGGTCAGTGGTCAGTGCGAGGAAAGGTTGGTCCTCCCTCCGACCAACCTTTGAGGTTTCAAGTGCGCACGGATGCCCTCGTAAGAGTGTTGCCCTGCTGTGGTGCCCTTCCCTCGTTCCGAAAACATCGGAGCTGACCCCACGTTTTCCCAGTTTTCCTGTCTAAGTAGTGCACCGTCCATAACACGATGAGGAACAAAAGTGGGCCTACCTTCTGAGGCATGAACAAATTAAATCCGAGGCATTTTCAAATTTCTAAAACATTAATTTTTTTTCATGTTTTTATTCACGCCAGACAAGTCATATTTCAATGCTAAGTCCAAGCAAAAAATAGTTTGAAATAAGAAAGGCACTTAAAAACAAATTAAATTACCATATTTTCTTTTTACTGGGGTCAAAGTGCAGTGTCCCAGTGCGCTGCAGTACGGAAGGCCGTGGCGAGGCGTGTTTTCACAGCCGGTTATAGCGTGGCAAACAGGGTATTCATCGCCGAGTGAGCCATTTGGACTTTCTTTGCTTGCCGCTGCCCAGCAGACTGATGCCGAGGGTCGTTTTCGTCGCCCTGTCTCTCTCGCACCCACACGGCCCGCCCCACGAGTGCGAGAGAGACAGAGCGATGGAAACGACTCTCGGAATCGGCCTGGAGGCGCTGCTTCCACAGCTTTGTGATAGCATCGCGAGCGCCTAATTGCTCCGCGTCTCCACACACTTGCCAGTGTGCCAGCCTTGCCAGCCTTGCCACACACGATCCGCGTGCGCGCGTGCGTGCCCCTGCGGTCACACTGTCACGACACCGCGCCGCGCCGCGCGGGGAAGGGAAACGAAAGACCGCCACTTCCCAAAGCCGACGAGTGCTCAGCCCACTGGGAAGGGAAGAGAGTCTGGCCAAAATCTTTAAAGTCTCACACTAAAAAAAAACAAAAAAAAAACCATAACTTTTATTTTTAAAGTTGAAGTCTATATCCATTGTTAAGCCCATCCTTTAGTGAGTCCATAGTTCAATTTTAGCTGATCTGACATTTATCATTATTTTTTTAAAATATCAATGACGGGCGATCTACTAAGTAATTGTCTATTAAGGGAGCGTAAGAAGAGAATTTCGTTCCCTATCCGCGTGCATCAACTCACACTTGCTAAAAAATAATAGACCACGAAAGTCACGGTCCTCCGGTCTTACGCTCAGAGCCCCCCCCCCCTCTTTTTCCCTACACGGCCGGCCGGTTGGATAGTTTCTCTGACCTGGTATAATGTATACATGGCACGCGCGGTAATTTGATGGTTCTTCTGTTCTCGCTGCGCAGGCTGCGCAGATGGAGGCCAGCACGGTCCAGCCGCGCCAAGATAAATCCGACTTCATCGCAGGTAAATCCGCCGAACCGAACTATTGAACGCGGCGGGCTGATTCGGACCTCGTCGCTCTGCCCTGCTCGTCGCCCTCCGGGACGCCCCGTGAGTGCGAGAGAGACAGAGCGACGAGGGCTCTGTTCGGAGAGTGCCCAGCCCAGCACTGCACGCGCACCGCTTCCCGAGGGGTGGCCCACTTTAAGTCCACTCTAGCGCCACTCCGCAGAGTGGGCCCGACACCCTCGGACTACCCACCCTCCCCACCGCACCCTGTCAACCATCGCACCCATCTCAGCCCTCCTGGAATGTGCCAGACTAGAATCCCGAAGGCCGCATTCGTACAGTCGCGCACACACTGCTGCATTCGTACAGTCACGCACACACTGCTGCATTCGTACAGTCACGCACACACCTGCCGCCGCCTGCCGACGTCGGGGTGGGCCAGCCCGCGCGACTCACGTGTCGCGCGCTCCGCAGGGTTGCCTACCCTGCACTCGGCGGGCGCTAAGGGGGCCGCACCACCATGCATGCAGGGACGACCTTGGCAACGACCTTGACAACGACCTTGACAACGACCTTGCCAACGGCCTTGCCAACGGCCTTGCCAACGGCCTTGCCAACGGCCTTGGCAACGGCCTTGGCAACGACCTTGCCAACGACCTTGCCAACGACCTTGCCAACGGCCTTGCCAACGACCTTGCCAACGGCCTTGCCAACGGCCTTGCCAACGGCCTTGCCAACGGCCTTGCCAACGGCCTTGCCAACGCGGTTGTGTTCCAGACGCGCTGCTCCGGGCTGGCATGCCCGCCGGCGACGTGGGTCTGTCCTCCGTGGTGGCGCGGAACTACAAGAAGATGGCGCAGACCATCCTGCCGCTGCTGGTGGGCTTCAAGGCCACCGGCATGCTCGTCATGGCCATGGCCGTCACCAAGTTCGTGCTGCTCAAGGCCCTGTTCCTGTCCACCACGGCGCTGCTCATCGCGGCGCTGCTCGCCCTCAAGAAGTTCCTGTCCTCCGGGCAGCCGCACGACGTGCCCGCGGCCTACACCTACTCGCACCACGACCTGTCGCACATGGTGAGTGGCCCGGGGGCGCGGGGCTCGACGAGCACTCGACGCGCTGGCGATGAATCGATTGATCGACGCCAGCCGCTCGGCGTGCGGTCGAGCCTCAGGCTCTTGGCGGAGTGGCGGTGCGCGCTCTTGGCACACTCTGTACACCACGCACGCGAGCAACGCGAGCTCGTCGCGCCGGACCGCCGTAGTCTGATTCCGAACGGCGTATCGCTCTATCTCCCTCGCGCTCGCGGGGCCGCGAGGGGCGCTGCGAGGAGCGAGAGAGACAGACTGACCCGCCGCCTCTGTTGCAGCCCTACCTCAGCACGGGCCACACCGGCGCCGAGCAGTACATGGAGGCCTCGCACATGCAGATGCCGCAGGTCACGTACATTGGCGGCTCCTACGGCCTGCAGAGCATCCCCTACTCCGCGGCCACCGGCGCCGGCGTGGCGGCCGCGGGGGCGGGGCTGGGGGCGGCCGACGACGTCCAGGGCCTGTACTCGACCAACGCCAACACCGTCGCCGCGCTGTCCGCCGCGCAGCTGCAGCAGTTGCAGCAGTTGCAGCAGCAGGCCCTGCTCGCCCAGCAGCTGGGCAGCGCCAGCGGCGCCAACGGCACGCAGCAGGCTGGGCAGCTGCTGCAGCTGTCGAGACGCAGGCTGAACGGTAAGTGCACTGCTAGGGGTTCCACTAGGCTACACCACACGGGGCTACGCCACACGGGGCTACGCCATGGCTAGGCGAGGCGCCGCCAGCGCCCAGGCAGCGCTCTGCGCCACTCCGCTGCACTACATGCTCCGCGAGCATGAAGGAAGGTTGTCTGCTGTCGCGATCGTTTGAAGGAGATGGGAGTTGATACCTGGCTGAGGGATGCCTACTCGCCTGGTGCGGCCAGGCACCTACTGGCCTCGTTGGCAGCCGCCCGCTGCCAGAATTCCAGAAAAATTACAAACTTTACGTGCCCACCAACTTATCAGCAACTTTTTATTTAACTTCGTTGAAAATTTATTTTTCTGACTGTTGCTACAGTTTTAAAGGTGACGATTTGGGGCCATTTCGACAAAGTGACGTCACAGATAATCTGAATGGGCCACTTTCCCTCCTTGGGGATCTTTTGATCTAAGTAGATGCCAAAAGCTTGAACTTAAATTTATTTTTCCGTGTTTCTTTCTGTTCTTTTCAGTCCCCCCAGGAGCGACGGTTTCCAGTCCGTATCCCTACCGGCCGACCAGGACCGAGACGAGGCCGGCGTAGGGGTTGATGTGTACCATCCACTGTAAATAACGTCTTCCTAGTTTGTACGCTCTTTGTAATTTATTTATTTATTTATTTATCTATTTATTAAAATAAAAATTAAGGAGACAAGTCAGTTGCACCTGTGTTGAACGTCTTTCCTTTCCCTTCCCCTCCGATTCCCTCCACAATTGAAGTCAAGTTCATTGTGAAATCCACCGATTTTTGCCGACTTTCGGGGACTGTGGCGCTGACTGGCATCTCATTCGAGATCTCGCTCGAGACCTCGCTGCCGCTCGGGTGGGTCTGGTGGGTCTCTAGCGTTATCGTGGCGTGTGAGTCAGTGTGTCATGTTTGCCTGGCCGGCCCCAAGGGTTCCGAACAGAGTTTGTCTCTCTCGCGCCCCTACCGGACACGCCATGAGTGCGAGAGAGACAGAGCGACGAACGCACTCTCCGGAATGAGTACGCGCGGGGCGGCGGCGGACGCTGGGCCTTTTGCACACGATCTCCCGGACCGCAAGGAACAGCAGCGGGGCACATCTTGAGTTCCACACGGTTCGTAGAGATTCTTACCCAAATCTGCGCCAGCGCAGCGTTTCAATTTTTTTAAAAAAGAAAATTTGGTAGTCTTTAAGACATTTTTTTAACAAGATATTTTTTTTTCTTGTCACGTTTTTGTGACTGTGCGATTGGGCCGCCTCTGCCATGGCGTTTGTTCCCGTTTGTTCCAGCACCTGAATGGCTCCAGCGATCGAGACCAGCGACTTGGCGAGCCCCATCTCCGACTTGGAGCGGGAGTGCCACGAAAGCATCGCCCTGAAGCGGCGCATAGGCATCCCCCAGCTCACGGACCTGGAGGCGGCCGCCCTCAAGAGGGCCAAGAACATCGTCAAGACTTGGGTGCAGATCAACTTCTCGCGTCGCAACGAAGGCGGCAAGGACTCTGCGGAGTCCAGGAAATTCCTCGTCGTGCTCACGGAATGGATTTACATCGAGGCAGATCTGAAATTCTTCGGACTGTCGGAGTAGAGGAGCCCGCCGGTGTTCACCCCTTCGCGCTCGTAGCCGTCTCCAAGGCTGCCAACATGGTCCGGTCAAAATGGATGAAGAGTGCCGTGTAACTGGGAGAATAGTCCTTCGCGAAGGCAAATAATTCTACGGGCTCCGTGATAAATAATCTGACTATCGAATAGAAAAAAGCTTCACTGCGTCCTGTCACGCAGACAAGAAGTGCGCAACATTGCGCTCTTTGTGTGGAAGTGTAGCCTACACTGCAAGACACGGGACAGGTAATCACGCGCCAAATTGTAAACCGGTACACATATTTGATCTGAAACTTAATTGATCTGTAACATCGAACAGAATCGGATTTGAAGCCAGGACTTTTGGTTTGTCGTTAAAAGATTTGAATTGATTCTCCAATTTTTCTACCGTTTTTAGCATGTAAGTATTTTTAATTTAATAGTCTTCATTCATCACTTTCAAAACATAACCTAAGGCTCATATGGCAAAGATTCAACCTCCTTCATTCCAACAATAATTTTTTAAACTCTTTTAATCTTACAGTGTTGTAACTGTTTTACAGCTCCACTGTTTATTATACTGAATCACCAAAATGTCTAAGAAAAAGGGTGTTAGTGCTGAAGACAAGCGCTCCCGTATGTTGGAGTTGTTTTATGAGAAAAAAGAATTCTTTCAGTTGAAGGTACGTTTGATACAGAGAATGTTATGTTACTCTCTATTGGGAGTGTCTGATCACTGATCAATGCCCGTGACATGACGCGTTGTTTCAGGAACTTGAAAAGATGGGACCCAAAGAGAAAGGAGTTATTGCTCAGTCTGTGAAGGATGTTATAAAGAGTCTTTGCGATGATAACTTAGTTGACGCTGAGAAAATTGGAACGTCAGTCTACTTCTGGGCTTTTCCAAGGTATATTCTTAAGTTAGCTTAAGGTATATTTTTAAGTTAGTTTATTGACCTGTTACTGTGAATGTTACAAAATGTTAAAAACTCTTTTTGTCATATGTGCAGCAAAGCTGTGCATGCCAAGAAAAGGCAGCTTGAAGATCTCAAGAGCCGCCTTGAAGAGGCTAACAAAAAGTTAAAAACATCCAGAGAGAAAGTCATTGCTATAAAAGTGAGTGTTCATCATGAAGATACAACGAACATCTTACTCCACTCTGTTTCTAAATTTTTTTAATACTTATTGCTTTAGTTTTAAGTATTTCATTTCTCTTTCAACAACAGGTGGGGCGTGAGGACACAGAAAAACGACTGCAACTCCTCCAGAAGCTGCAGACCATGAAAGGAGAAGAAGACAAACTAACTCTTGAAATCCAGAAATTCAGAGACTCTGATCCTGAAGCTCTAGAAAAGATGAAAAAGGAAATCAAGGCAGGAATCTGTTATTTGCTTAAGTTAAACCCTCCCCTTTTTTGTGAAATTAGTGCTTATATAGATTTGACTTTGCTTTTCAGATAGCCAAAGAGGCCGCCAACCGCTGGACTGACAATATTTTTTCCACTAAATCTTGGATCAAAAACAGACTCTCTTCCATGGATGATGATGTTTTAGATAAGAGATATGGTATACCATCTGATATGGACTATATTGACTAAATAGGTGTTACAAGAATTTGTTTAATTTTAAGATAGGATGAGACAGGATGAGATAATTTGTACTTTTTACTTGGATGGATGCATTAAGTTATTACTCTGCCACATGACTGATTTTTTTTTCATGCTAAAATAACAGGAAAATGGCAATAAACAGACAATTACACTTAAATTACATTATTTATTTACAATAATCAATACAATAAAATTAAAAATTACCTTACAAATTTATGCAGTCCATTTCAAGCAGCGTGTATCTTTGTGTGTTCCAAGGCAGCGTACACAACAGTAGCGTGTTCCACATTGAATGCAAGTATAGTTGCTGGGGAAACCACAGACTGCACAGAAATGGCGTTCTGGCATCTTTGATGGTTCTGCCTGAGCGGAAAGGTAGTTAGGTGGATCTGGGTGTGCTAGTTGGCCCTCTTCAACCAATTGACTGAAGGTTTTTCTGTACCTGAAAATAAAAGCACATGTTGCATAAGTTGGAAGTTTAGGAGAACTCATCGAAAAGAGTGTTATAAACAGGCACATCCTAACAACTGGCATACTTACTTTTGCTTATAGTACTCAGCAGAATGTTTGTGCTTCTTTTTACGGCCGCCGCCTCTTGTTTCCAATTGGTCACTGAACTTTGGGGCCTTCTTGCTCATAACTGCAAAAAGAGAAAGGGATCTTAGCAAGCAATTTTCTTAAAAATTGTAACTGGGAAAATTTAGTTTGCTTACCCAGATCTCCGTGAGGATCATCATGGAAGTTGTCCTGTTCGAGAGCTTCCAACGCTTTCCTGACTCTGCGCCTTCTTGCAGCCTCGTCCAGCACCCTTCCCGCATTGACATCGCGGCGACTCTTTTTCTCCGCTGTCTTGGATGCCATGTTGATATCTTGACAAACTTATTAAGCGTCTTTCTCTACCAGTGGGAAACTCACTTGATCCATAAGATCATCAATTCTAGATTGGAGAGTAGTTAAAATGTCTGCAGAGATAAACAGGTGGGTATCATCCAGATTCTGGATGATGAAACGACATCCAAGGGCCATTGTCTCATCCAAGTGAAGGAGAAATTGCTTCATAGCCTGGTCACTGCACACCGACAAGGGGAAAGAGAAACAGTGTTAATCGAAGGAACAAATCAGCAAATATGATGAAGATTTAAAGAATGATGGTCACATTTTAATTTTAATGACTCTACCCGTAAGATGGATTGACTTAAGATATATTCATTATGAAAATTTAAAACGTAATCCAGTTAACTCAGAGTAAAATAGCAATTACAGTACAGTCAATTTTAAATAAAGATAGAGATGGGTATTGCAATGGTTAGACAACAACGTTCTAGAGAGGGTTAGAGTAAATAACAACTCACCATTCCACTAGGACGCCTTTCACAACATTTACCATTATCACACAGCTTCACTGTCCAGCCTAATTTAATTTCTCGTTCGAATAAATAGAGGAAACTGTAGAAAAATCCACTTTTTCGGCGTAAAATTAGGAAAAGCCCGGCGGGCCGGTGAGGGTTTACACTCACTCCATACGTTATAGGCAGTCGGTCGAGCGCGGCGCGACACTTGAACTGTGAATAACGAACAGCAATAACAATAACAACAAGATTGCATTGTGTGTAGCATGGTCATAACCCGTTCTTTCAGCGCGGCGCGGCGGCAGAATCAGTTCTATTCTGTATTGCTGGAAATCATTGTCGTTCTTGTGACAGATTCTGCTCATTGTCTAGGTCTCAATCTGCCGCAATCTTTCACTGGAGCACTGTGTCATGACACCGGTGCCGGCCACTGCTTAATGCAAAGTAGGCAGCATTTACACCACCGAGAGCATCATCAAGGTGAGATAGAAGCTAGACTAGATGTCATCAATCGCTGCCCAATGTGTTTATAGTTTGTTGTTCTGGGCTCAACTGCTGTGTCTATTCGACAGGAGAACATGTATATGATAGCCAACTTCTCTCTGACAAGTTTCCTTTTTTGTTTCAATTTCTAGATGTCCAAACTTCAGCTTAGGAGTAAGAGGAAAACAGACTCCCCCACAAATTTGAAGGTTCAAGCTAAGTCTGACGTTCCTCTGACGAAGAAAGCTAAAACTGCCGCAAAGGTGGATGTATCAGATTCGGAAAGCAGCTCCGATGAATTTGTACGTCCATCCAAAGATCTGAAAGTCAATGCAGGCATTCTACTATCAAGAAATGGTCCCTCACCTGTCCCAGACTTTTCATCTATTGAGAAAAGCATCTTTTCTGGTGTGTCTAAGCTGAGTGACTCTGATTCTGATGATTCAGACTTCGAAGAAGTTCCGGCACCTTCTCGCTCTCTAAATGAGTCCGCCAAGGATGACAGCGGCATCTTGTCTAATGACAGTGAGCAAAATAGCAAAGTGAAGACAGCTGTGCAAGAATCTGTCAAAGAGAAAGTGCCTTCTAAACCAGTGAGAAGCTCTAGGAGGAAGCCTGCTACAAAGGATAAAGATGAAGCTCCAAAATCAAAGACAGAAAAACAACCCGTTAAAAAACCTGCAGATGTTGCTGAGCCCCTTTCTGATGCTAAAGGCAAGGGAAAAGGGTCAAGAGCTGTCAAACGTAAGAATGAGGAGGTGGAAAACACATCAGTGTCACCTGGCAAGCAGATAAAGCATAAGGACGAGCCAGAGAAAAAGAGCTCTACAAGAAGTTCAAGATCTCGACCATCTACCAGCACAACAAAAGTGGAGGAAGAAGAAAAAAAGCCCAAAGGAAATGGTCTTGCAAAGAAAGGCAAAGTTTGTGGAAAGGGTGAGAAAGTAACCAGTGAGCTGAAAGAAGGCAAAACTTCAAACAAAGTTGTCGTCAAGGAGGAAGATCCAGCAAATGTCGACAATTTGGATATTGCTCAGCTGCTTGCTCTTGGAGAAGGTTTGAAATTTGAAGCCAAATCAGAGCACTCCGACTCTGATAGTGATGAGTGGGAGGAGGTAGATCCCAACGAAGTAAAAAAGCATGAAATTCCAAAGGAAGGGGTTCAAATCACTCTTGACATGCCTGAGTTCAGTTGGCGCCGCAAGAAACAAAAAGACCATCAAGCGTGTTTACAAGCTGAAATGAACAGGGCCTTTAATCGAGTACGAAAGGAGTTGCAACTGTTATGTCACAAAACCAGCCTTCTCTTGTGGGTCGCTCATGGTATCTTCCTCAACAGGACAATCAATAGTGAAAATGTCTTGGGAATGGCACTGTCTCTGGTACCCCCAGACCTCTGTGACCTTCCAAAATCACCTGGAAGCAAGTATATTAACAAGCTCTTGCAGTGGTTTGCCACACGTTTTGAGTGTTCGGAAGGGTTTCCAGAAGATATTGTTGGTGGTAAAACTCGTGCCCTTACTGCAGTTCTGGAACAAAATTTTACTCGAAAATATGCTAAATCAACCAAGGAAATGACATTTATGTTTGTTGCTGTGCTACGTGCAGTGGGCATAGAGGCTAGACTGGTAATTTCATTCCAGCCCATGCCTTTGAAACCTCAAAGTGATGAGCTTTTAAGCATAAACAGCAAGAAAAGAGGGCGGGCTACTAAGAAAGAGACCAAGGAGGACAGTGAAGCTGAAGATGACCCAGCACCTGTTGTGAGCAGCCCCTACTTTGAGAAAAAAGGGAAAGCTTCTGTTTCCAAAGAGACTGGAAAAGCCAAAGCCAAGGGCAATTCAGGAAACGGGAACGAAAAGTTGTCAAAGTCGGGAGGAGCACCAAAGCCCTCTTCCTCTGCTGTGAAAGGAAGTGAGAGCAATGTCAAAGGGAGGAAGCAAAGTGGCAAGTCTGATCCTGCAACAGCAAAGTCCCCTCCCAAGGTCCGAGAGCTTAGGAGAAAAAGTTCAAAAAAGTCTTACTCTGAGAAAACTGATTCAGACAATGAAGATTCTGATGATGAAGAAAAGGAGCTCCCCATCCTAAGCCCTGGCAGAAAGAAAGATGATAAGACTTTGTCTGAACGTTTGAAGGCAGCTGCTGCTAAGAGGACACCTACAAACAGAAGGTTTAGTCTACAATCTACTGCATCAAAGGCTCGTAAAAGTACAAAGGACTCTGACAGTGATTTTGAGCCAGAACCTAAGCGAGACTCTGGCGTAGGCAGTAGCAGGTCGTCTACATCTCCCAAGAAGAAGACATCATCTCGTCGGTCACAATCTGAAAACTCAGAAAGTGACAGTGACAGTGATTTTGAGAAAAAGCCAAAGGCAAGTCAAAGTTCAAAAAAAGCAACTAAAAAGACACCACCTAAAGGTCGACAATCAAAGGGCCGCCCTTCAAAGTCTAAAGGTGAGTTACATACTTAAAGTCTTTCCTATTTATCATCTGATGCTAAATCTGTTTGTGCATGAAAAATGAAAGTGTGTGTAAAGGAGATAGGGGGGCTGTTAATTTTTTTTTTTTTTTTTTAGTATTATTTTCACTTGTGCATGGGTTTGTTTTGTTTGTAAGGAAATGGAAACAAAGTTTTGTCCTCAGATGATGATTCAGGTAAAAAGAAGCCCACCTGTTCTGGATTTGATTATTGGATTGAAGTCTATTTGAAGGATGATGATAGATGGACCTGTGTTGATGTTCCATCAAAGAAGGTTGACTCAACAAAAAATATTCTGGTATTTTCATTATTATTTATTCCTTACCCTAAATCTAAAAAAATTGTCATCTAGATAACCAAATCTGACTCTTTATTTGTCTTTACAGGCTAAAGCCACTCAACCTGTGTGCTATGTAATTGCCTTTAATGTAGATGGCACCTTGAAAGATGTGACTAAAAGGTATTCACCAAAGTTTTCTCAAGTGACTGCAAAGCAAAGAGTATCTGCGGACTGGTGGAGTAAAAGCTTGAAGCCTTTTGCTCCTAAACACTCAGCCAGAGAGGCTGCAGAAGACAGTGAAATGAACTTGGTGGAGCTAGACAGACCCATGCCGAAAACTGTTGCTGAGTGAGTGTGATTAATAAGTGTTCATTCAGTTGTTATCATCCATGAATGCCCCTCATTTCTTTGTTAAATTTCACTTTTTATTTTACCAGGTGCAAAAATCATCCTCTGTACGTGTTGACCCGACATCTCCTGAAATTTGAAGCTATATACCCCCCAGACTCCCCGAGTCTTGGCTTTGTTCGCAGTGAGCCTATATATGCCAGACAGAATGTTTATACACTTCGCTCTCGTGAAACCTGGATGAAAGAAGCTAAGGTGGTTCGCCTTGGTGAGAAGCCATACAAAGTTGTGAAACAACCAAAATGGGATAGGGTAATTATAACTCTTGATGAATCATTTTACAGTATGATTGAATTTCTTTAAATTTGATTTGATTACTGTGTATTTGTCTTTGCCGTTTCAGCTCGCTCATAAGATGATCACTGATAGGCCTCTTGAAGTATTTGGACCCTGGCAAGTGGAGGACTACGTTCCTCCACCTGCTGTTGATGGGAAAGTACCCCGAAATGCTTATGGAAATGTGGAACTTTTCAAGCCAACCATGCTGCCTAAAGGAACTGTACATTTACAAGGTATGTTTCTATGGATTTTGGCATCTGATTTTATTTATTTGGTTAAGGGAAACAAAATCTATTGCTTGACTCCACTTTGATTATTTTTCTTTTTTCAGTTCCATCTCTCAGTAGAGTTGCAAAGAAGTTACAGATTGACTGTGCACCGGCTGTTGTTGGCTTTGATTACCACAGTGGAGGCTGCCACCCTACTTTTGATGGGTTTGTGGTTTGTGAAGAGTTCGTTGATGTGCTGATGGATGCCTGGAACAAGGTCTGAATCGCCAATTTTCTTTTTTTAAGAACTGTGTCTTCTTAAGTGTGTTGATGTTAATCTGTACACTTCATTTCTTCTAGGATATTGATGAGTCTGCCAAACGACGTGAAGAGAAGCACGAGAAAAGAATCTATGGGAATTGGAGAAGGCTCATCAAAGGCTTGCTCATTCGTGAGGCGCTCAAGGCTCGATATGACTTCAATGGGGAGGCTGGGGCCCAGGACCTAGACCAGGCTGGGAGCAGTCAGCCCAGTGGCAGCAAGGCAAGTGTTAATCCTGAGGCACTGCAGGCCGCACGCATCGTTCGCGAGGATGCCCCAGTTACCTGCCTTTTCCCCAAGTTGATGGCAAACATTAGAGCTCAGAAAACCCGCCAAAAGAGGTCAGCGCCTAACGAGAAGAAAAAGCCACCCAAAGGCAAGAACGTAAAGCAAAGTCAGAGCCAGAAAGGAAAAGGGAGGAAGAAGCGCAAGGATGAGACTAGCGAGGAAGAAGAGAGTGATTGGGACTCGACCACTACAGAGGAAGATGATGTTAACATGGTTCTGCTGTCTGATGAAGACAGTGGAAGTGAGTTTGAAGATTTAAAGCGTTAATTGCCTTTTTTCTCATATAATTTTGCCAGCAGATGTCTAGTGGCTCAATTTTTTGTTACCTCATATACCAGTATTTTTAGATGACCTAACTGCAAATGCTGAATGATTTGTCTTGGCATTTGAGTTGGGTTTGGGACCTTTTTATTATTACCATGTTTGTTTCTGAAGGTGGCATTAATGTGATTTTATTGTACCTTGTACTTTTCAGTGACATACATGATATTCTAAGGGCCCCTAGTCAGCATTTAGTTGTGCTTTAATTTATTTGTTTCATCACATTGCCCACTATTTTATTAATGATAACTAGTTGGGAAAAATATGGTGTGATTTTTTGTTGTTTCATTTGTTCTTTTGTCTCCCAGTATTCTCAATAATGTTTCTCCTGCTGATGAAAACTTGTGATTCATTGCAAAAAAGTTTCAGTTCTAATTTTTTGAGCTTTGTTGTACTAGTTGTTCTAAAGCTCTGAAAGTATGACTAAGTTTCATTTTAAATTTTACTTCTTGTACTGTTACTATAATTTGCATGTCAATTTTACAAAGCATGCAAACTCTATGCGGGTCATAAGGCTATTTTGTCTTTACTTAAATAACTAAGAGTTAGTTCTTAACAAATGTAAGTATATTGCATGTTTACATTTCATGATTCATGTTCCTGTATTTGTCCAGGCATTCCAAGGTTACTTGCCCTCACTATGCAACGGATAGGAATTGTGGTGTTAAGTCTTGCAGCTCAAGAAAATAGATTTAAGTTTTGGAATGTCATTTTGCCCTGATGAGTGACTGCCATTCTCTGTATACTACTCTCTGTACCTGATCTGATGTTTTAGAAATTCATTCAAGGGAATCATGATAACTTGAAGTGCCCTGTAAGATAACTGCCTCTCTGTGTATTTTGTATTCTTTGGTTTAAACCCCTGTCTTATCATCCTCAAATAAATCTTTTTACACTTTTTAAATCATTTCTTCTTGTGACCGTTTGAACAAAATCGTTCATTAGGTTGTTTGGCTGCCAGCTATAGCTAAGCCATTAGGTTTGCAATTGCCGTGCCTGTAAGTTTGCTTTGGCGGGGAAAATTGACACGCTTCGTTTCGCATTCCTGCAGCGCCCCTTCCCCCCTTCTCATTGGACCAGAGGGTGGGGGGCGAATGCCTCTATCTTTAGGCACGCGGGCTGAGTCAGCAGCGGAACGCACAGCCAATGATGTGAAAGCACTCTTATAAAAAACGCGGCATTCAAACCAGGGGGATGTGTGAACTGTGACATGTTCCCATAAACCATTCCCGCGCCAAGAAATAACTCCACCTCGCGGCCCTGCCAGTGGCGTGGCAGTCACTCATAGGTCCATGGCGCGCCTGACGAAGTGGCGGTGTTTCCTGGAGCGTTGGCTTTGCATCGCCAATGCCGCGGTGGCCGGTGGGAGTCGAACGCCAGCCTCAGGGTTGGTTGTCGGCGACGGAACGCCCTCGGCCACGGCGCTGCTGGGACACGGCCCAGCCAAGGCCGCGGCCAGGGCCCTCAGCACAGTGCCAGTGCACGCGTCCGGGCCCCGGCGCATTTCGCGCGAGCCTCACTTAAATTGCCGGCAGGCTCGGGGCTCTCGTCGCGCTGTCTCTCTCGCACTCTCGGGGCGTGCCGTGGGGGTGCGAGAGAGGCAGACGACGAAGACACCGCTCTGCATCGGCTTGCCCCGCGGCGCAGCCTGGCGCCCTGCCACTGCCCCGCCGGCCACGCTGTCCCAGCCTTGTCCCCGATGCGCCGTCAGCCTGTCAGTCCGCTCTCCGTCTCTCTCGCACTCACGGCGCATCCCATTGGGGTGCGAGGGAAAGAGAGAGACGGCAGTCTGCTGGAGGGAGGCGCCTGCGAGGTAGGCCGGTGGAGTTCACGGCTGGGTTGCATGGCCTACCTCGCAGGCGCTTGGCGCCTGCGAGCCGCGGGGTAGGCAAGCCTCAGGCACGGATGCGTGGCGCTCCAGCGTGTTGCCTACACTGCAGGCGTTCTCCACTAGGCGGGGCCGTTCTTGGCCTCGAGGCGAACGCTTCTCCCTCGCAGTGTGGCGGACGGCGGCGGCAGTCAAAGCGCCGCGGATCCGTCTGTCGGAGTCCGCGTGAAAATAATCCCGCCTCCGGATGGCGCGCGTCTCTCCGCGCAGCCGAGCATCGCGCGCTTTGAGTAGTACCGAACGACCGGACCAGAAAAAAAGAGAAAAACTTCTTTACGGCCTTCGGAAACTCCCTTGCTCTATTTCGGGCGCGCGTTCGCGACGGCGTGCGCGCTCCTCGCCGGGTCCTCCCGCTGCTCCTCCTTCTTCTTCTTCTCCTTCTTCTTCTCCTTCTCGCCTCGCCAGCACCGCGTCATGGAGCGACCCCCGCGGGCTCCATTGTCCCCGGCGTGTTTACTCCGCTGCATCCCTCCCTGGGGGCTGGGGCAGCCTTGGGCGCCACTATCCACTGTCGGCGCCTACACTGTCTGCCGTCCCGCCACGTCGGCACGTCGGCACTCGCTTCTTGGTCCTGGCCGTCCTGGCAGGAGGTGGCCCATTGTGACGAGACCCGCGGGCCCGTGGTGGAGCCCCCTCACTCTGCCTCACTCGCACCCACGCGGGACCGGGCCGACGCCGCGCGAGTGCGAGAGAGACAGAGCGACGACAGCGAGCGGTTCGGAATCACGCCGGCTTCTATGCCGTCATTTTAGGGTCAGTGTCCGGGGGCCGCGCGCCGAAAGTATGCGGATACGCGGCCGCCGTACGCTGGGCGTGACTCTGTGTGCGTGTGTGTGTGTGTGTGTGTGTGCGTGTGAATGGCGTGTCGCTGAATGGGACCCGCTCGCATCATTGCGCGCACTACGTACTGCACACTTGAATACGCGACGCGGCGTGGGTGGCTGAATCGAAGTCCGCACGCGCCCTTGTACAGTCGGACGGACGGACAGGCAGACAGACAGGCGGACGGCAGCGGGACGCAGCGCTGCCAAGGCAGGCCGCAACGCCATGATAACAGAGTCGTTGTGGCGACGGCGCTGAATTGTGTGCAAAGTGCGGCAGTCGAGGGGTGCATCCCACCTGCAGCCCCAGCCTCACCTTGCGGGCCTTGCGGCCGGGCCAAACGGCCGGGCCAAACGGGTGGGCGGGCCCCGCGGGCTGTTTCCGAATACCTATCTGCCTCGCACTCACGCCGTGGGTCGTCGTTCCTTGGGGGTGCGAGAGAGAGAGAGAGAGAGAGAGAGAGAGAGAGAGAGAGAGAGAGAGAGACTCTGCTGGCGGCCCTGCTTGAGGTGTGATGGACGCCGCGGGGGAAACGGAGCGCAATCAGCCGACCCGCAGTCCGTCGCTCTGTCTCTGTCGCACCCTGACGGCCTGACGGGACGCCGCGTGAGTGCGACAGAGACAGAGCGATGAAATGACTCTTCAGCACCCCTCGGACAGGTGGGCCGAGGGAGAAGATCGAAGCAGCTGTCTCTGTCTGTTTTGATTTGTTTGAGGGCGACCGGCTGCCTCGTTGGAGGAGACTGGCCTCAAGGCGACGCTTTGTCAAGGTCAGGGGTCGCGCCTTTAATTTCCCGCGCCTCCGTCTCGTCGCTCTGTCTCTCTCGCTCTCATGGGGCGTCCCGTGGCGGTGCGAGAGAGAGAGAGCGACGAAGCGGCCTTTCGGAGTGGGGCGGCTGGCGCTGCCAAGGTTGCCAACATCGGGGCGGCACGGCCTGGCCACGGCCTGCGGCCCTGGCGGCTTTTTGAAACTGGTGCCGCTTGGTTGGAAGCGTGGGAGCGGAGCCGAGTGGAGCAGTCTGGGGGGAATCTGGTCGTATTTTCAGTGACTTGGCTGCGGGGCGATGGCTATTATTGCAGCCAGTTCTCGTATTATTGCAATCACCTCGTCTGGGGATACCCATTACTGGCGTTTTGTCACCGTGTTTACTCGTTTGAGAGTTTCCATGGGACCTGCGCACTCTTTTCATTGGTTTTTGCTGCGCTGTGTTGGCAAGTGGAACGGTTTGGGTTGGCTATTCTGCCGGGTTTGCGTTCATGAAGTGCGATGCTGTGACTGGCTGCGGTATAGTTTTCCATGGAACTGGGTGCATGTATCGAATAGGTCAGATTTGTGTTCCGTTCTCTGAGCTCCCCTTCCGATGTCAAGAAAGGACGAAAACGTGTTTTCAGTAAGAAACAAGCTCTTTATTATATAAAACTTACATCTTATCACCAGATTCTCCTCTCTCGCTCTCTATCAACAAACTCCTTCCAATTCAATCTGAACTACTTATTCGAATTAAAAATAATGATGATAGACAATATGAATTATTAATATCATGTCAATAATTTTTTTTTGTACATTTTTGAGTCTTTTTTAATACAAAATAAAGATTCAAGATTATAAAATGGATGAATGATAATCCTCACAGCTCGCACACCCTTGCCTACATCCTCTCCAGGAGTCCTGGACCACAACTCGCAAATTCGACCCCATTTGACCCGAAGTGGCCCCACCCGCGGGAATTGGGCGATGCGGGCGGCGCCAGCCCGGGTGCGTTCCACTTTCCACTGTCGCAGTCAGTCACCGCATCACACTCGGCGCACACTCGCAGTCACCACTCAGTCTCTCGTCGTCACGAAGTCACGAATAAGAAAAACAACAACATTGAACAACAAGGCGTGTATTGGCGGTTTCGGGCCTTACTTGCCCAGGATGATCTTGCGGCCAGCGCCCATGTTCTGTCCGGCCTGGGAGGCGCCCTTGTTCTGTCCGGCCTGCAGGCCGATGATGGTCTTGCCGGCGTTCAACTGTTCCTCGCTGAAGTCCCGCTTAGCCTCGTCGGCGGGCTTGGGGCCCAGCTTGGGTCCGGTCCACTCGGGGTGCCTGTAGGTCTGCAAACGGCCGGAAAGGAAAGGTTCAAATACCGGCAGGGCAAAGTTTTGTTTTTGTCTTTTTTATGTAGATGGAGTTTGTTGGAAAGTTACCTCACGGCCGAGAGCGAACAGGCAGTTGATGACGGAGGCGAAGTCTTTGTTCTTCTCCCACAGGTCGACGGTCTGGAAGACGTCGACGTCGGACACGCCGTAGTCCTTCAGGGCCTTCTGGAAGCTGCAAGCAGGAACCGACCGTCAGGCAACGTCGACCAACCCCAATCGAGCGAGTCGACCGAGATGACTACTCACTTGTTGATGTTCTCCATCATCTTGAACTGTCCACCGGAGGAGTTGACCTTGGCGACGGCGCCGGGCTTGAGCTTGTTCATGAGCTCGCACAGCACCTGGCCGTCGCGGATGGCGTCCTCGAAGGGCTCGCCGTCCAGCTTGCGGCCGATGATGGCCTCCACCCACTCCTGGGCCTCCTTCTCCAGCGCGGGGTCGCGCTTGGCGGCGATCTGGAACACACCATGGAGGCGGTCAGGCCAGCGCTCGTGGGAACGTCGGGGCGTCGCGGTGCATTCCGACGGACTCCCCACCCCCTTCCCCCCGTCGGCGCGTTTCCCTGCTTTTGGCACTAGGTCAATGTTTGCGTGGTGACGGTCTGACGGCCTGACGGGCCGTGGCGCCGCGGCCGGGACGCTTCGGGACGCTACGCTACAAGATGCGGTGCACACGTCTCTAGCCTTCTAGCGCCTTCTACGGCGGCGGGCTGCCCAGGACAGCCCTCTGCACCAATCGGAGCGCGACGCGACCGCGCTCGCGGCCAATCAGGAGCGAGCACCGATCAGCACACCAATTTTACTTTTCAAAATATTAATAACTGGTAATTGTCAACTTTTTAAGTTCAGGGGATCGAAATTGAGTCTCATGGCATACTCTTAGCATACTTATAAATCACAAAAACACCCAGGAAAAATAATAATAATTCTAGAAACTTCTGAGTAGGTCGTTCGAACTTGGGGGACCCAGCTGTCCAAATACATAGTCCGTCCTTTTGAAATTCGCGCCACCCCGACTGCTCCCCGCGACCCAGCGTCGTAAATCAGTGAAACCGAGATGGAATCTCGGAGGATTAAAACGACGCGAACAGAAATACAGCCGGATTTAAGATAACACTGCTCGCACAAGACCGCCCCTGTTCGGCACCGGCTTCAGGGCAGCCCACTTCCACCGCGCCTCGCAGGCTTCGCACTGCCTTCCGCACAGGTTGTTGTTGTTGCTGCGTTACCTTGGCGCGGACGGCACGTTCCAGAGACATCTTGTTGTTGTTGTTGGCCGGTGGCTGCTGATGCTGCGAGTGGCGAGTGTAAAGTGCCCCCCTCGGAGCGCGGCTCGCTTTTATAAGTAGAGCAAGGAAAGCTTCGAGTTTCTTCTGCGGGAGCTGCCCCCACCACGACGGGCCGCCGCCTGCCGCCGCCCCCACCCCTGGCATTCTACGGCTCATGCCTCCAAAAACACACTCTGACCACGGTCAGCAGCCGCCGCCCCTCCCCCTCCCCAAACCACCCCTCCCCCCTCCCCCTCCCCCTGCGGAGAGCGTGCCGGCATGTCCCCCTCTTCGAGAACAATTTTGAGACTGAACATGGTACGCTTTCCGAGAAAGGAGGGTAGTGCAGGGGAAGTGTTCAAGCGAGTTTGCCTGTCACTTTTCTTTTAGTCGGAACTGACAGGCGCAAAAATACCACGAACCTATCCGAGGCGTTGTTTTCTCCTCAAAGCAGCACTACCGACCGAAGGCCTTTCTTTTGTCAGAGGACTATTCTCGTCGACTTTTGCCGCATCATTTTGGGAGGGAAGACCCACCGGCGCACACAAAAAGTCCTTGATAGAAAGTGGTGAATCGGGGCGGGGTGGATTCGAACCCGCGGCATCGGTAAACACGCGCGCGGCAGCATGGCGACGCCGTAAACACAGGACTTAACGCTGCAAGCCGCCTGTGGGCCATGGCGGCGCGGTCGGGCTATTCCCAGAGACAATGCACGCTTCTGTGCGAGGCTGCGAGGTGCTGCGAGGCCGCTAGGTCTAGAGGAAGAGGCTCGTCTTGGTGTCCCGCGGGGCGTGGAGGCGCGGAGGCGCGGTACAGCGAGGCAGGGTCAAGGTCTGGTTGGGGGTGGTCAGTATAGCGGAGCACCGCGGAGCAGCCCGCCGTCAAGCCGGCCCGGGCCTGGGGACGCGTGCGCACACACACACACACACACACACACACACACACACACACACACACACACACACACACACACACACACACACACACACACACACACACACACACACCCCGGCACACACCCTCTGGCGGATCCGCAGACGGCCTCGACGCTGGAAAATGGCATTGTTTGCATGCTTGCAGCGGAAAAGTACGTATGACTTTTGCCGTTTGTTCAGGAGGCCAGGGGGTGGCAACTCCCACTGGACCCGCGCGTGGCCATCAACACCTCATCAGTCTCCTCATAACGGGAGTCCCCTTCCCCCTCCCCCTCCCCCTGCGGCACGAATTCCAGGTCCCACCCCCTGTCTTGCATCGGCTTGCGTCCTTGGCCTGGTTGCAGCAGGTGCACCAATAATTCCCGCCAAAGCGCACTGAGTGCACCGCGGTCGCACGCGGAACGGCCGTAGGCAAACAAGAGGAAGGCGGCGGCGCGGCGGGTCGATGCCACCGCGAGTCGTTTCGGGCGACTTGTCCTATTCTAGGTGGCGGTGACGACATGCACGGCCTGCCGCGGCCTGCGCCCTCTAATTATACCGCGATGAGTATCATCGCCGGGCCGCCCACGCGCCGCCGTCGCCTGAAACAATCACACGCCGCGGCGACGTCAGCGACGTCGTCACGCCGGGCAGTGAGGCCATGAGTCACCGTGCCTTAGAGGGCGGCGCCGCGGCGGCGCACGAGCGCGACTGTACTTGCCCGACGCGTGTGCCGGTGGCGCGGTTGCAGACTGATTCCGAGAGTCGTCGCTCCTGTGGCATCCTGTGTAGGTGCGAGAGAGACAGAGCGACGAAGACGACTCTCGGGTTCAGTCTGCAGTGGCTGAGGATCGCGCCTCGTGCGCCTGCCCGTCCGTCTGCCCGCCGTGCCAGTGTGGCAGCAGCCCTCCAGCCGGCTAGTTGCGGCGGGCGTGGATAGATGGCGCTGCGGGTCCAGCCGGGGTGGACTCTCGCGGCTGCCGGTTACGGCGAGGATTCATGAGGTCCGGCCCGCCCCCCTCTCCGAACTGCCTGGACTGGAGCTGCGCTGCGCTGCGACGTGGTTCCCTTCGTAAACTCGTAATTTTTGTAGGGGGAAGGTTCATGAGAGCTCCTTCCCCTAATTACTTGAAACACCCGTGTACATGGGCCGCTGCCTTAACCGCACTGTCGTTGGACGGAAAGGTAGCAGAGGACAGACGTCAGGCGTGTCGACGACGGCACTCTGCGGGCCTCCTCCCCCTCCCCTCCCCCCTCCCCCCCTCGGGCGAAGGGTGCAACAACTAACGGTCTGCTTGATGTGTGTGCATGTGTGCAGTGCAGGCTTCACAGCGGCCCAGCCTGTTGATACCCGACGGTTCTGTCGTCGCGCTGTCTCTCTCGGACTCATCGGGTTTCGCGCAGAGGCGAGAGAGAGAGAGGCGGAGCGACGAAAAGGCGCTGTTGTTCGGGGCCAGCCCGCAGGCGCATGTGTGGCACACCGTTAAACTCAGAGGCATGACGGCGACACCCGAAAATACTGTAAATTTATAATCGCCGGGAGGGAGGGCAAGCCCAGCTCCCCGTGTATGGGGCTTTGCAGTGACGTAGCCAGCCTGGCCCGAAGGACGTGTTTTGTCACACTGTTAGCTAACTTACACGCAGTGAGGGCTGTAAGTTGCCTACCCACCCCGCACAGTGGGCCAGAAGACCGGCGCAGGTGCCAAAAATTCTAAACACAATTTGGGCTCCAGAGTCGCTTAATGAGACTTGAACCGAGCGCGTGACTCCACCAATGGATTGCTCTCCGAACGAGGAATCCATTGGTGGGGTCACACGTTCGTCTCGAGCCCTGTTTAGCGATTCTGGAACTCAACACGCGTCTAGAGTTTTGGCCGCCTCCACCGGTCTTCTGGCACACTGTGCCCCGCGTCCCACCCCGACGGGGATTCCTCCTGCCCCCCCCCCCCGTCACTTTGGACGGACAGGAAGACATTTGGAGGCCGTTTTCGAGACTTCGCGACTCGAGCCGCGCGCTGCGGTCGGCGGTCTTGGGCTTTCTCGACATCGACGGGTGCCATCGCGATGGCAACACCCTGAAGAAGTGGAAGTGGCGGCTCTGCCAGGAGCAGTCCATGTTATCCTAAGCGGAGCGAACTAAGACGTGTACTATTGAGGTTCTGAAAGTGGATTTTGTTCAGCGGCTCCAAGGTCTAGAGACGGCAAAACTGAAAAGCCGAGGCGAAATTCGGGACTTGAAAAAGGAAAGCGACGCGAGAGAGACATCAGGGCGTGACCAAGTGCCGCCCCGCCGCGGCGCGCCGCCTGGCCCCGCGCCCGCCGCGTCGCCGCCACACAGTGGGCCAGAAGCCGGTGGAGGCGGCCAAAACTCTAGACGCGTTTTGAGCTCCAGAGACGGTAAATGGGACTCGAACCGAACGTGTGACCCCACCAATGGATTCCTCGTTCGGAGAGCTATCAATTGGTGGGGTCACACGTTCGGTTCGAGTCCCATTTAGCGACTCTGGAGCTCAAAACGCGTCTAGAGTTTTGGCCGCCTCCACCGGCTTCTGGCCCACTGTGCGCCACGGCCGCTGCTGACCGAGTCACGCCGTCTCTCTCGCACCCCCACGGGACGCGCCGTGCGTGACAGAGACGGAGAGAGTGCGCGCCACGTCACGATGACCGTGAATTTCGTGTATTTGCCGGGGATGTCTCACGGCTAACTAATGCCCCCCCCCCCCTCCCACTCCCCTCGGCCGCGCGGCAATATTCGGACTCGCTGGCACCGATTCGCGGTGCTTTTATTGACATTGAACTAAATCGGGACGGTCGTCATCTCGGGGGAGGCGTGGGCGACGCGGTGCGTAGCGATAGCGGTGCGTGGAGCGGCGCGGCACCGTGGCGACACCACACACACCCTCCCGCCTCACAGTGCTGCCACCTTAGTAGGCAAACATTCCCACAGTGCGCCAGGCTCGAGAGGGTTGCCAACCTCAGCCTGCGTGTAAGACAGCTAAGACTGCTTTGCAGAGCAGAGACCAGACTCTATGTGAGACGGGCTGTCTACCTCGTTCTATCCCTGGCAAATTATTGACTGGAGGGAGACGAAGTTGCCTCGCAGGCAGCGGTGGCGGCTGCCACCACAACGGCGTCAGCGTCAAGTTGTCACTTTGAATCCTCTAACTTCGATTCGGTTCGCCGCTCGAGAGCCGCTTGCTTTGTTTTCGATCGCGACGGGGTATCGCCCGCCAGAATTAATGTCTCGCGGTGCGCATCCACTCCCCTTGCGGGAATACCCCGCTCAGCAGGTCCACTACGGGCAGAAAATACCCCTCGGCCGCCGCGTCGCTACTCCCCGCCAGATGGCGGTAGGGTCGTGGGACCGCGACCGCTTCCGAAGACCGATGGTTCCGAACAGACCGCTTCCGTCGCCCTGTCTCGCTCGCACCCTCGCCGAACGCCCCAACGTCCCACGGGAGCGACAAAGACAGCGCCACGAAAGTACTCCACCACCACCCTGAGTTGCCCCCCAGGATTGGGGTTGATTGAAACGGTTCCCCGTGCAAGCATTCAGGCTCGGACTGGCCCCCAAAAGGCCCCGGCAGATAAGACCGCAAAAGGCCCCCGATCATCATTGTTTTTACCCTTCATGACCAACTTTGTGAGGCTGCCGCTCCCACACAAGTTGCGGTCAATAGCCTTCCCGTACAGGACATGAAAGACTAGGGTCTTAAGAATTCTAGGGCGTCGAGGGAGGCCTTTTACGGCAATTAGATTGGACACAGTGGACACCCAAAGTCAGCAAAATCAGCAAATTTCCGATAATCGACTACTTTTTGACCAACTTGGTCGGAAAATCATTGCGGTCAAAGTCAAAATCGTTGTGGTCAACGTCTTCCCTATACAGGGCATTAAAGAGTAGGGTCTTGAGAATACTAGGACGTTGAGGGAGGCCTTTTACGGCAACTAGATTGGACACAGTGGCCGTCCAAAGTCAGCAAAATCAGCAAATTTCCGAGATTCGACCACTTTTTGACCAACTTTGGTCCCTAAATCGTTGCGGTCAAAGGCAAAATCGTTGTGGTCAACGTCTTCCCGATACAGGGCATGAAAGAGTAGGGTCTTGAGAATACTAGGACGTTGAGGGAGGCCTTTTACGGCAACTAGATTGGACACAGTGGCCGCCCAAAGTCAGCAAAATCAGCAAATTTCCGAGATTCGA